GCAGCCGAGCCCGGGCCCAGCGCCGCCTGCAGCCTTGGGAAGGGAGCGGATCGCGGAGCCCCAAGCCGCCCGCAGAGCAAGCGCGGGGAACCAAGGAGACGCTCCTGGCACTGCAGGTACGCCGACTTCAGTCTCGAGCTCCCGCCCGCCTTTCCTCTCTTCAACGTGGCAGGGACACCGGGGGACCTCAGTGTGAGGGTCACCGCCGGGTGGACTGGCGGGGCAAGGCGGGGGCAGCGCGCACGTGGCCGTGGAGCCCGGCTCGGTCCCGCGCGCGTCTGCGGGTGCCCCCTGGGGACTCAGAGGTGTCGCCTCGCCCGGGACCAGAGATTGCGCTGGATGGATTCCCGCGGGCAGAGGCAGGGGGAAGGAGGGGTGTTGGAAACCTAACACTTGAGCTTCTTTGCAAAGTTTCCTTGGATGGTTGGGGAGGTACCTGTATAATGGCCCTGGACCAACTTCCCCTGTTGAAGCAGCCAGAGAAGTGTGTAAAACACACTACAGGGGCAGTGTGGAAAAAGAGACTGCCTTCAAAACTTGTATATTTTCTATTTTGAAAAATAACTGCAAATCTATTTTAATTTTACAAAGTTAGACTCATAGCATTTTAGATATCAATGTCTTCATTTAACAGAAGTGAAGATGGAGCAAACGCTCAATCAGCGTCTGTATTTATTCGCTCCTGTTGTGCCACGGTGCGTTTTTGCTGAGCAGTTGCCTTTACTCTCACAAAACCCCCTTGGTGTCTGTCCTCCACGTTTTACGAGGGAGAGCTGGATCTTTTGAAGTTCGTATCATCTAAAGCAGGTATATTGAGATGACTATGGATAGAAGTTTACCTGAAAATACTGAAGTTGACAGCTGACAAAGATATAAGAATCCAAAGTATGTTAAAAATTAAGGAGCTGGGGCCCAGAGAAGTGAAGTTACTTCTCCAGCATCACACAGCAGATCCAGGACCCTGTGTGATTTGAAAAGGCCAAGGTATCTAATGATGCTCATAATTTAGTTAATTTTGTGTCAAACGGATGAGGTCAAGTGGACATTATGTGTATATTTCAAAGCCAAAATTACTGCTTGTAATCTCCATTCATCTCTCTGAAGAAGTAGTGCCTCTTTTATATGGCTTTAACATACTGTATAATCGAAGTGAATTAGGGCAGCCAAACTTTTAATCACAGGACTGATCTTTTAAAAACGGGTATATGTAAAGTTAATTGCTTATCTATGTGAACAGTAATATACGCTATAAAAAGTTTTCAAGGCAACTTCCTGCCTGTGGTTTAATTTGATAGTCACAATGATAGGAAATTGGCAGGGTTAGGTGGTGGTATCCACATTTTGCCCATGAGGACTTGTGGCTCAGATAATTTGAGTTTTTTCTAGTAAGGTCACTAGGTCCCTAGTGCACAGCCTGCTTTTAGGTACGGATGTGGGATGGGGGTGTCGGCAGACCACAGGTTTTTGACTCTCAGTTTGGGCTCATTTCCATGACTCCTTGCTGCCTCCCTGATTTCTGTCAAATGACCAAAGCACATTTACTAATTACTTCTGCCGCAAGGACTACTCCTTATTAGGCTGTGACAAGCAAGTTTCCTCACATAGCGGGTCAGCTCACTCTGGCCACAAGACCCAGCTTCCTAACCACACACATTAAGAAAGAGAAAAATTAGCACTGTCTGAGACCTACAACCACTTCAAGGGGGAAGAGTGGTGTTTGCACAAATATCTACTCTTGTTTTAACCTAATCATGTGTAAAAAGTGTAATTCACTGGTCTTTACCAAAAAAAAAGTCATCACTGTCTGCCTGTGCTGGACGCGATGCTAGAGAGACAAAAGTGAGCAGGATAGGCACCACCCTGCCCTTACAAACCCAAAAAGTTAGAGGAAAGGCTATCGGGATGTTACTATGCAATTTGATAGCATTTCAATTTTGGTAACATAAATACTTGAACTAATTAGAATGTGCTACAAATTTTGCCATTCTTTACTTTCCATGTGCCAACATGGAAAATCTGTAACCTTCATCTTTCAATACCTCATCTTAACAGTCTTCTATAAATCAAAAAATCTACCCCAAAAAGCCCTAGGTTTTAACTTTTGAAAAGTTTTTTTATTTATCAGCTTTTCATGTCATGACTAAGATGTGCCATTCAACTTAAAGGAATTCTTTCATTTTACAGTAACAGTTATTAAAATCCTTTATTCCTACCTCCTTGAGAATCTAACGGAAATTTTATATCCTCTTCCCAGAAAATTTTTTTTAATGTGCATCCTCACACACCGTTTTGCATTCGGCGTCAGCAGGCTAGAGGCTTCCTTGAACTTCAGTCATGACCCTCTTTGGGGGTCCACTTTCATAATCAGTATTCTAAACGCAGTAGGCATAAATAGCTTGAATAGAGGAAAGTGGGATGTAGACTCTTGGCATTCACTTGGACTGAGCATCTCTATCCTTAACTAGTTGGTGTCTCCATTTTTGTTAGTCATTGGCTACTGCTTAGCTGAAGCTATTGATTTTAATAGCCTTATCGTTTTGATATGAGGCTGCCACTCTGCAGAAGCCTAATATTGGGGAAGGAACACCAGCCTAAGAACCGTGGTTTGTTTCTAGTATCAACTCTGCAGATTTCTGTGCCTCATTTTTCTCATCTCTAAGATGGGCGGCTGATGGGTGGCCGGGACTGAATCATTTCTAAAATCCTTTACACTGATGAAATTCTGTGATTCCAGTGTAACTACCAAGTTCACTTTCATATACCTCCTGAGACACAGCTGGTCTTAGTAAATTTAGGTCCTCTATGTCCAAAGAAAGTCAAAGTAAGTACCATCATAATTCACTATAGAATGTATTTTTGTCTTTCACTGATCTTACTGGACTCAAAACTGTTACATGTTTCCTTAAATTAGATAGAATAACACAATTGTGAAACACTACTTTTCAAGGAAAAATATTACAATTTTAAAAGCCTCTTTTTATCCCACCTCTCAGTAGCTACAACTTTCATATATGAGTTTCATATATATATATGAAAAACTTTTTCTTATCTCAGACTCTTAAGGAAATGCAATGCTTTTAATATGATCACTGCTGTGTAATTCTCATCTGCCCTGAAACACTTAAGTTCTGTCCATCAATCAATGTCTTTGGTCTTATAATATTCAGAGCCTTAAGCAAAACCAGTGCAAAAGCACATCTGTCCTCAAATAAGCACATCATATGTCTGAGCAGTTCAGCATCCTCACTCAAAGTCCACGGCTCTCAGCATTGTGGAAGAACATGTTATTCCTAAAATCACCACCCTTACACACAGTGACACACTCACCAGAAAGTGAGGCTTAACATAGCTTAAGTTGCTGTAGTTTAAAACAGATTGTGAATATCTGTGCTAATTCTGAGAAACAATTAGCAGAGATATTAATCAATTAGCACAGATCACTAATATCTGTGCTAATTGTTAGAACAGATTAGCACAGATATTGCTACCTTGTGTGAGTAGATAGTTAAGGCACTGGCAGAAGGAAAGATTAGTGAAGAATATCAAATATGTGATTTAATGAAATTGTGAGGCTGACGTTTGGATAAGGTGAAACAATGCCCTACAATGACATTTTTGCCAGTTCTCCATAAATGAGAGTGTTCTACACAAATTATAAGTTGCTGGCTGTCTTAACAAAATGCTCTGGTCCTTTGTATGCTCACACAAATAACGGTTCCAAGCATGGGAAACAGGTATCAGATTGCCCAAGTGGGCAACCCAGCCGCCTTATCCTTAGCCACTGATTAACCTTGTGCAAGTTACTTCACCTGCCTGTGCCTCAAGGCCCCCATGTTTCAATGGGGAGGGTGTGAATACTCATTCCTAAGGTTGTGAGGAGGAATAACTGAGTTAGTAGACATCAAACACTTAGGTGCTTGGCACAGAGGGAGCCCTGTGTGTTTGCTATTATTCTGTTTCAGTGGATGATCTTGTGTATTATAAGAAATCAATTTGGAAGGTGAGATACAAATGCAGTCTGAGAAAGTAAAGACATTTTAAAGACATTTTACTGTGTCACGAATTTTCAGAGACCACACTGACACGGTAAAAAGTTGTCTGGTTTTTAGAATTTTTGTTTCAGAATGCATATCCTTCTCCTTAACCAAACGAAAACTACTAAAATACTTCTGAAAATTATTTCCAAGAAAACATTTTGGTGTATCTTTTAGCAGTTACTTTACAACTTAAAGATTAGGATAAACCAAAGAATTATTTTAACTTGGCTTTTACCTGCTTGTAGATAACCTCTAATTTATATAACGGTTCAATTATACAGTGGTAAATGTATCTGGGCTTGTACTTTTAAAATAGCAAGTGTAACATGTGATAGATGTAGGGTACTTATAAAGTACTCACTAAGCACTGATGACTGATGTCATTAGTATCACGGCTATCATTCATTGAACCCTGATTATGAGGCTGGCACCCAACTAAATGTTTTGCATTGTCACTTCATCTTCACAAGACTTTCTGAGTAGGTTATACCTTTATCTCCATTTTCAGGGAAACAACTAAGACTTAAAGAGGTTTATTAACTTGCCAAATACCACACAGCTAGTAACACTGGTGGGGTATGGAATGGAACCCAGGCAAGCTGAAAACAACAGAACAATGAACACTCCTACTTTTCAATTAGATTTGCTAATTGTTAATATTTGCCACATTGACTTATCTTTCGGTGTCCCTACCCATCTCTCTCTATATATCTATATGCAAACCTGGCATCTAACTTCTAGATGTTTCAGCATGGATCTCCTAAGAACAAGGACATGGTTCTATGCAATGAAAACACATGATTATAGCATCCAAGAGTGGTTTTTAAAATCCGGGATGAAACTTAATTTTTACCCACAAGTCCAGACGATGATTTCTACCAGTATTCTCCAGCTTTACTTTATACTTGACAGACTGAGATCCAAGCCTGGAATCTTCTAAAAAGGTCCACTGCCAATCTGGAATGCCAACAAATTATTAATATATTAATATATCCCCACATTTGTAAGCTTCTACTAAATTCTCCAAGAACCTGCATATCAGTTAAGTCCTGAAATGCTCCAGTGCCAAATAAAAGCCCACTGTGCAGATAGAAATGCCTTTGGAAACTCTCAAACATTCATTCAAAAGTATTTAGTGGGTATCTGTCAGCTGTATATCCAGCACTGAGGGAAGACTCAGTCTCTGCCATCACATACACCTCAGCACTAAGAAGAGACACATGAAATAATTACCATCCAGTGTGATAAGTGCTCTGACAGAGGATGGAGAGAGGACTAGCCACCTTGGGGAAGATAGAGAAGCAGGGTCCCATCAGGAGACGAGGAGAAACCAGCCTCCAGGAGTGTGCTATCTGAGAGTACAAGATAAGGAAGGCGAAGAAGACAGGTCCATACTTGAACACTTGAAGTAGGTATATCTAGTGCCTAAGAGTGTGTATGGTGACATCTTGTGGAGCAGCGATCATGACCCTCATTTGGTTTGTTAAACCATTGGGTCAAATGCCATGGGAATGTAACATGTAAATGGTCTTTGCCTTATAACACAGGGTATCCCATCCATGTAAGAGTGAATTTTTAAAAAGGCAAAACCAAACCTTTGGTTTACAGAATTTGCTCCATTTGCCTTAAATAGTTTTAGCACACAAATTCTTCCTTGCTTGGGGCCATTATGGTGTGTGGAAGCAGAAAAAGATAAACTGTAGCTTACAGAAATAGAAAAGCAATTTTGTCTGATGATACAGACATAAGGATATAAACAACAAACAGGTAACACATAATAAGTTCCAAATGAGGCATTTTGTTGAAATTCAGTGTTAAGCATAAAAAGTGAACTCAAATGCACAAAGGAGGCCTCATGGAAGGGTGACAAAACACAGAGCAGATAACAGCCACCCTATTTTCTGTTCCCTGGGAGTGGGGAGAAAAGACATCAAAATCGAATTATAAATTTTAAAAAGTATTAAAATTATCTTATGGAAATATGATATTAAGAAGTTTGTTAGACAAATGGAAAACGTTTTGTGGAAACAAGAAATAAGAAAGAATGGCCATCACTTAAAGCAACAGAACGCATCTCTCCCACTAGCTCTCCCCTCCCTACCCACAGCTTTATTTACATTTGTTCTATAACATTTCAGCACAGTTCAGACCTGCCGCTGAGCCAGTGTGAGGTCAGGGTGTTGAGGAAGTGAGTCCCCGCAGTCAGACTCCAGCTGGCTGTCATCCTGCTTCTGCTTATTCCACATAATCAGTCTGGTGGGGAAGAGGAAATTCCTAACTTTTTTTTTTTTAACACATCTTCATCAGAAAAGTGAAAGCACTAATTACTGTCCATAATAAAACTATTGGGAAGGTAACTTAGCTTGTAAATAAGTTCCACAAAGTCATTTCAGTAAAAGCTTCCTGGTTCTAAAATTGGGAAAAGCAGGATAATCCTCTAAGGCTGACATTCTTTCTCTTTTGTGCATTTACAACTAAACAGTCACTGATATACATTTCCACAGCGACCCTGCAATATCCACACTGACTTTCTTCTAAGACACTTCAAAAATCCATCACACCTTTATGTGTTAAATATCACTATTGGCATATATCTTTAAAAACATTTATTTTCTTAATTCTCAAAATACAGAAAAGAATGTTATGCTATTTTGTGTGCAAACTGCTATTTTCAATAAGGAGCTCTTAATTGAGAAATAGTTGCTATTTTTCAATAAAGAACTCTCAATTAGAAATATCAAGAAGTGATGTTAAGTTTTTATGGAAGTAAATAAAATATCATGACATGAAAAGTTTATAATTTTTCCCCCAGCAATGGCTTATTCAGGGAATTTTTCTTATATCTAAAGTTAATGATCTGAAAAGTGGTAATCTTATCACTCACCAAGATTTCAGGAGGTAAGTTATTCCTACAGAACAATCCATTTTTACCTTTAAAGATGAGTTTGTGTACTTCAGAAGACGTGAGCCCAGTTGGCCACCATCAATCCCTTGTTAATGATGGAACTCATGTGAAGTTAAGAGGAAACATAATACTCTTTATCTCATTCCCTGGTAGCAGAGAAGTTGACTCATCTTTAACGTCAGTTACTGAGATGTAACACAGAATCATATTCTACAGAAAATATGTGATAAACTTTACACAAATAAATACACTTTAGAAAGGCAGTCATTTGGATTTTCTTTTTGTCAGAGAACACTGCAAGTCTTCCTGAAGAATCTCTGAGAAATTAAACACTTTATATGACATTTTATAGCATGTAGAGAGGTTGAAACTCAAGAGAACTAAAACTCAGATGATAGTCTAAATACTTAATTTGTTGCTGCTTTATGCTGGACGTGAAAAGTGTGAGCTTAAATTATAAATAAAAAACTACTGAACTATCAAACTATTTGGGGTACATCCTTATCTTTCCTCTAAATTACTCTTTATTCCCATTAAAATCTACCTATCCCAGGTCCTCTCTCCTCAGCCCTTGATCTCTGCTTTCAAAGATGACTGACTAACCTAATAAACACATCTAAGGCGATGTTGTCAACTTCAACCCAACCCTCTTTCCCCAGATAACTGTCTGCATTTCAAGAACAACCTACCAGAGACCTTACCTGTCACCTTGGCTCTCCCACCCAATGGAGATGGCTCTAATGGTAAGGAATTCTGTCTTAAGTAACAGGGAAGGGAAACACTCCGACAGATGCAGAGTTTTCATAGAGGCAGGCTGTTGGTGCATCATGTGGGCAGCCACTTTCAACTTTTGACCCTGCCTCAAAAGGTAATCAAGAAATCGTTGTTATTCTAAAAATTACGACAAATCCAAAGTTTCACAGAATCCTGATTTTTATATACTTGCATTAATCACTGCTTATTTCCATGACATAAACCCAAACCGCAGCTGCAGAATATAGAGAATCAGAAGAAATTCTGATAGAAAAGCCAGATACTGCTTCCACATATGCAAATATATGCTAATTGCTTTTAGCAAATGGATCCAAATAGGAATCAACATTATTCCATCTTAATGATTATGTTTTTGATTGGTACACATAAATGTTAGTGGGAAAATAGTTAGAGGAAGTTACCTAAACTAAATCACTTCAATTTTCAACAACATAATTACATTTCACCTACTAAAATGGCTTTGGACGTAGAATTTGTATTGCTACATCAATATAAGATGACTTTCAGTAAAAATAGATGTACATTTGATTTGTAACAACAAATTAGTAGTTTTAAATTATTTGTATATTTCAGGGTAAATAAAATTAGAGCTATCCCACAATCGCTTTGGTTCTGAAATTCGACCACTGTAACTTTTTTTAAAGAAAACTATGGTGTGCAGTTCCTTTGGTTGCAAATATTAAATGGTTGGTGCTGAGAATAAGCAGCAATATAGAAATATACATAAATGTAGAAGAATATAACCTATGATTTAGACATAAAACGAGACCCTTACAAGATAAAGAGTTACGGAGATGTATGCTAATGATGGTTGTACAACAGTATGACTGTTTAATATAGCTGACCTGTACACTTAAAAGTGGTTACAATGGCTGGGCGCGGTGGCTCACGCCTGTAATCCCAGCACTTTGGGAGGCCAAGGCGGGCGGATCACGAGGTCAGGAGATCGAGACCATCCTGGCTAACACGGTGAAACCCCGTCTCTACTAAAAATACAAAAAATTAGCTGGGCGTGGTGGCGGGCGCCTGTAGTCCCAGCTACTCGGCTGAGGCAGGAGAATGGCGTGAACCCGGGAGGCGGAGCCTGCAGTGAGCAGAGATCGCGCCACCGCACTCCAGCCTGGGTGACAAAGGGAGACTCCGTCTTAAAAAAAAAAAAAAAGTGGTTAAGATGTTAAACTTACATTATGTTTACATTACATTACATATTTCACCACAATAAAAAATTTTTGAAGGAAAACCAGAACTTTAATGACAAACTTAGGACATATTATGCTCTGAATATATAGTTTTGATGATGTCTTTCCTGGCAAATCAACAAGGTAAGAATAAAAGGATATTCTGAAATCTTTTTTTTTCTTTGGAGACGGAGTCTCGCTCTATTGCCCAGGCTGGAGTGCAGTGGCACAGTCTCGGCTCACTGCAACCTTCTGCCTCCCAGGTTCAAGCGATTCTGCTGCCTCAGCCTTCGGAGTAGCTGGGATTACAGGCGCGCACCACCATGCCTAGCTAACTTTTTTGTATTTTTAGTACGGGGTTTTCCCATGTTGGTCAGGCTGGTCTCGAACTCCTGATCTTGTGATCCACCCACCTCAGCCATCCAAAATGCTGGGATTACAGGCGTGAGCCACCACACCTGGCCAGATATTCTTAAATCTTATGTTCACACTCCACCCTGCCCCCCAAAAAATTGTCCTTCGGAAAAGCATAATCTAAGGAAAAATTTCCCAAAGTGCCACCTTCAGCTTCCTTCTTACTACAAGAGGAAGAATTGCCCATCATATAATGAAAGATACTTGGTGTTATCATTAATCTGGTCTACATAGTGCTTCCTCTTGGTAGATTTTTTACCCACTGTGAGCAGGAATGATTTTCATACTCAGTGTGTAGTAATTCTGTTAAGAATATTTAACTTGGAACCTATGCTACATAGTAAAGCTTATACTGACAATGGATATTTCATGTGGTAGGCATAAGTATTGTGGCGTGAGGGAAGGACTGGAAGTATATCTGCAGAACTACCTAGTCAAAGACCCCAATCTAATTTCTAATGTATAATTCATATAAATCCTTCTTGTATTGCTACACATTAAACATTATGCTTGTCATATTCTTGGTTAGCACTGTCACTATTGATTGTTAGGCTTATAATTGTGTATAATTCTTCCCCTGCCACTTTACCAGCTGGTGGCCACACTGATTCTAGAAAGAAGTACTTCATTTCTTATTACCTCATGAAAGCACCCTCTGCCCAATGCCTTGGCTAACAGACTGGCCTTTGTTGTCTATGACCACTAATTCCCACTGAGGCACATAGCAATTCTGTTGTTGGTTGATTAGCCCAGTCAAAAACACTGGAAGTGGATGTAGACTCCACACTGATGGATGAATGACCTTCTGGTCATTTTAATGTCCTTAAAAGTCTACTATTTTTAAATTGAAAATAATATATATATATATTCTGGGGTATGTTCTCCTTTATTCTGTTCATTAATGTTTTTCATCTATCACTGGGTTTTAAATATGACCTAAGGTTCTACAGTATATTTAGACAAACTTCTCATTTCTCTGCAGTGTTAGGAATTCATCACGTCTGTATGACAAGGTTGTGTTTGAGAACAAATGGGGACCTGTGTGACATGTTTTATTTCAATATACATTTAGAGTTTGAACCAATAAAAAAGCTATTAGAATTTTTAATATATATAACACATTATCAAAAACACTGTCACTTTTCTGAGTGCTCTAATCAGGCAATTCAGATGTTTATTTAAAAAGAGGGAAAAGCCAATCAGTATACTAAATATATTTATTTTAATACCTGTGCTCATATGTTACCTTTAAAGAACAGGAATAAAATTTATGGGTAGAATAGTATGCAAGCAATTTACCATCAATACAAATTAAACACATCTTTTTAAGAAAAGGGTGAGTTATCTTGACTGGGGAGGCACTAACGCTAGATTATTAATATGTATTTATTAAGCATTTACTGTGTCCAGGACCCTGTAAGGGGGGAAAAAAGTCCTTATTTTTACAATCTTTATTGACTGAAATTCTATAAAATGAATTGACTGAAATGACATCATTTAATCCAAATTTTTTCATCATCAACTAATTCATCTCAGGAAACAGTAAAGTTTAAAAAAAATACTATCAGTAAGAATGATATATTTCCTTGGTTTGGAAATTTCCAAACCACGATATTCTGCCCCGTCAAAATATATTCACTGGGGAATTTTTTACTTCATACGTTTCTTTTGAACTTAGTCACATTTTTATATCTAGCTGGTTTCATTATTAAATAAAAGAAAAGGTGATTCCCCTCTTGTACTGCAGGAGACCACATACTTGAATGATACTCTAACTTCTAGGTTCTGCTATAGTAACACTGAAATCAGAAACCTGTGGGAGAAATGTCACTTTATCTGAGAGAGTAAAATCAGACTCTAAAAGGAAGTAGCAAATTCATCTTGTTCTTTTTTTTAATCAACCCTCTGCCTAACACAAGTAGTTTGAAACACAGAGGACTCTTTAAGTCATACTTCCTTTTATGTAGTCAAAACCAAAGCCACTGGGTATTGCTTTCCCCAAAGGAATCTCTAAATAGCAGACGGGGACATTTTCAGATAGATTCATTTGTAGGCAAACCTCCATTGCTTGTATCATATTTCCTGAAAGAATAAAGGTAAAACTTCAACTATTTATTACAGAATGAAAAATTCAGCCTGAACCCTACCTTTATAAAACAGGTTAATTGGGTTTTAATTTTCATAAATCATAAAGGACCATTTTGAATATTTGGGCCTTTAATTGTCTAGCTCCCAGATGAAGTACAAATCAGAAAAACACAAAAAAAAACTATACTGTGTCAGAATGCAAGCTTCCCTCTTTGCATTTTGGCATTTGGAAACTCTGAAGAGTGGTTTTTGTTTTTGATTTAAAGAAGATGATACATATGTGTACCTGATTCAAAACTATAGAATTGAAAACATAATTTTCAAAAAGTTTTCAAATATGCCTAAAGGTAACAATGTCATCTTTTAATTGCCAATTTCTCTACCACTTTCAACAAATTACTTCCAAGGATTTAATTAGCTCCTTCAAGAGAAAATGGACTATTTTCCTTTCAGATTTACTATATTCTGTCACTCCAGCTTTATAACCGCATGTGCATACACAAACATTTCTTTCTCTCTTGCAGGTGGCACAAACCAGGAAGGGGAAATCTGTGGTTTAAATTCTTTATGCCTCATCCTCTGAGTGCTGAAGGCTTGCTGTAGGCTGTATGCTGTTAATGCTAATCGTGATAGGGGTTTTTACCTCCAACTGACTCCTACATGTTAGCATTAACAGGGTATGATGCCTGTTACTAGCATTCACATGGAACAAATTGCTGCCGTGGGAGGATGACAAAGAAGCATGAGTCACCCTGCTGGATAAACTTAGACTTCAGGCTTTATCATTTTTCAATCTGTTAATCATAATCTGGTCACTGGGATGTTCAACCTTAAACTAAGTTTTAAAAGTAAGGTTATTTAAAAGATTTATCAGTAGTATCCTAAATGCAAACATTTTCATTTAAATATCAAGCCCACGTTTGTTTTTATCATTAACAGAAAATGTATTCCTGTCATTCTTAATTGCAGGTTTTGACTTGTTCAATATAATGTTCATAAATACCTTTGATTCAACTGTTAGAAATGTGGGCTAAACACTAATTTCTATAATATTTTTGTAGTTAAAAATTAGAAGGACTACTAACCTCCAGTTATATCATGGATTGTCTGGCAACATTTTTTAAAATATTTAGAAACTGGTACTTTCCCCCATGTAACGATTTTCTGTTTAGGCAACTTCAGTTTAGAATTAATACTTTCATTTGACTCTTAAAGGGAAATTGAAAGGCTATGAAGCTGAATTTTTTAAATGAGATATTTTTAACAAGTAGCAGGGTAAATAACATCTGAGAGCTAGTGAGATATTGTTTCCATACAAGATACAAAGATTTAATTAAAAAACTCGTATTTGAAATGAAGTCCCAAATCTAGGTTCAAGTTCAATAGCTAAGCTACATAATATGGTTGTGCAAGCAGAGAATCTACCTTTCCACTTCTAAGCCTGTTTCTTCATCCATGAAATGGGGATAATGCTTTACAAGGTTGTTGTGAGGTTTAGGTGGGATAGAGAATATTCTGTAAGATAATCAAGTGCTCCATCCATGTTATAGTTGGGTTAATCCAAGAACTAGTCACCCTACTTTGTTAGAGAAGAGAAAAGCTAATGATTTAATTTGCAGACTTTTTAAGGTTTGGGTTTCTATGCAGTTTTTCTAAATAACTATAACTTACAAACATGTAACCAAATGTAATTGTTAGTATATTTAATGTATACTTGTTTTAACAACTCTTCTCAACATTTTGTCAAGTTTATTCACTGTAACCAAATAAATCTCATGAGTCTTTAGTTGATTTAAAATAATTTTTATGGCCCATTTTCTTTTGCAAAGTACAAATTATAATTTCAGAAGATATCTGCCAAAAAAAGACAATGGAAGAAAATTATGAGGATACTAAGGGGAACTTTCCTGACTCCTAGGACACAGTATTCTCATGTAAGAGTACCCATTTGGCTTTGTCCCACTTTCCGTTCAAGTTGTATGTGCTGCCAATACAAATTCCTTCTCCTAACCCGTGGAATGAGCTTATGGCTCCATGGAGCTTGCATGTAGGTAGAACATACTCAAGAGAGTTTCTTCAGGCCAGGCACAGTGGCTCACGCCTTTAATTCCAACACTTTGGGAAGCTAAGGCGGGTGAATCATTTGAGGTCAGGAGTTCTAGTCTACCCTGGCCAACATAGTGAAACCTCGTCTCTGCTAAAAACACAAAAATTAGCTAGGCATGGTGGTGAGTGCCTGTAATCCCAGATACTCAGGAGGCTGAGGCAGGAGAATCACTTGAACCCAGGAGGTGAAGTTCGCAGTGAATGAAGATCATGCCACTGCCCTCCAGCCTGGGTGACAAGAGTGAAAAAGTGTTTCTTCATTTTATCTGCCACTGTGTATCTACAAGAGGATTCCTTGCTTTGAGTCCCAGTTCTTCAAAATCCTACTTGCTGCCTAAAGACACAAAGTCATAGAACATTAGGGCTGGAATAAACTATTGTAGTATAACCTTCCTGCTGTTACAATAAAAAACTATGAACATTACAAAGGCACTTGAAGAAAATCTGTGCTGGGAAATGCCTTATTTGAAGAGCAGTTGAGTACACTCCATGAAGCCTAAGAGAGTTACTTAATCTTCCGCTAAGCCTCAATTTCTTCATCAGTAAAATGATGAATATATTTCATATTTCATAGGATGTAGGCTTAAATGAAATCATGCATGTGAAAAGCACAATGTCTATTATGCATTAAGTGTTAAACACAAACTTTCAAACTTTTACATTTCAGTCATTTAAATCAAATGATCTACCACAGCAGATCTCCCCAAGGACACTCTAGCTCCAAACTAACTATAATCCCGTGGTGACAAGCCAAAGAACCAGGGTTCCTGGGTTTATTCTAATGCCCAGCCCTCCTAGACTTCTGACTGCCTATCTCCTCATCGTAGAGGGATTCCTCCTGACCAGTCATTACAAAAATTCTTGAAGCATGAGTAAGATTGAGTCTGTGTTTGGATTGGAGGAACGGGTAAGTAACAAGGTATATATATGTATGTGTGAGTGACTGAGTGTGTGTGTGTGTGTGTGTGTGTGAAAGTTACAAACTAAGGATGGTTTTTAAAAATTGCAAAATGTTAAGAGATTCATCTAGGATCTGACCCACTTCCCCAGAAATTTACGGAATTCAAGACCAAGGCTTTCATATTCACTGTCATCAGTTAGATGGATCCAATAGCTAAAAAATTAAGGAGAAAAAAATGGAGGAATACGAGAAAAAAAGTCAAGTCAGAGGACTGAAGAATATATACAGAACATAGAATACTAGAAATTTTCTGAAAATAGGTGATAGCGAATACCTCAAGAAAGTGAGGAAATGTGAAGAAAAAAGGGAGCTTAAAGAAAAATAGTAGAGTTCATAGATGGGACACAAGTACAAAAAGCTGGCTGAGCATGTGGTTCTCTACTAATAACAACTGGAAAACAGTGAAACTAGCAGGAAAAACTTGCACATAAGAGTTTAACTTTCCACTTTAGGTTTCAAATTCTCCCATAGCAATAAGGGTAAGTGAAATAATGTTCACATAAGTTTTTTTTTTTTCCTTGTCTATTACTGTAGTTTTTTTGGTTTGTTTTGTTTTTGTTTTTGTTTTTTTTTTGAGACAAACTCTTGCTCTTGTCCCCCAGTCTGGAGTGCAATGGCGCAATCTCAGCTCACTGCAACCTCTGCCTCCAAGGTTTTATTCTCCTGCCTCAGCCTCCCGAGTGGCTGGGATTACAGATACGTACCACCACGCCCAGCTAATTTTTTGTATTTTAAGTAGAGACGGGGTTTCACCATATTGGCCAGGCTGATCTCAAACGCCTGACCTCAGGTGATCCACCCGTCTCGGCCTCCCAAAGTGCTGGGATTACAGGCGTGAGCCACCACACCCAGCCTGTTACTATAGTGTTTTAACAAATCTAAGTGTACTAGTATTAGTCTTCATTCATCTAAGACATACAAGTACTGGAATTTTTTAGGTGGGTTCCTCAAATGTCATCACAATGGTGTCTTCTCTATATTCAGTCACTCTTCCGCCCTTCTCTGTAATGCTCAGGGATTTCCCAGCTCACTAGCACTTAACGTAGTATATCCTAAAAGTCCAAGTCTAACTACAGAAATTAGTTTAAATACAGTGAACATTTCATTTTCACTATGCCACTGAGCTGAAAGAAATGATTTTTGGTAAATAAAAGTTCATCACAGCAGACAATTAAGTGAAAAGTTCTATATATAACTGAAGATCAAAGGATTCTCACCTGGGAAGCTTGTCAAGATGCATATTCCCAAGCTCCCAGGCTCCCACTCCCACTGATTGTAATACTGTAATGGAGCTGAGGACACTACATTTTTACCGGGCTGACCAGGCAGTTCAGATTCAGGTGGATCATAAACCAGCTCTGAGGAAACTGTAGTTTTATACACGATGCTACTGTTGATGTTGCTACTAGGAATGGTGCTCAGCAGAAATCCTGCAACATATGGATCTGTTTACACACTATTCACCGTGTAATGAGAGTCTGCCACATAGGCTAAGTGATAAGAGATGTCTTGTGGTTGACCTCTCTAGAGATAAGCAGCAATGAAATTCCAATGAAGTCTCATCATCCCTCATCACCAAAACCATCCTAACCACCTCAATGAAATACACCTGACCTCCCCCACTCTCCCCACCCACTGCCCCGAAACCAGCTGCCCTATGTTCTACCACCAGCTGCAACCAACCAATGACCTGATACTAACTAACCCTAATCTATCAGCTGCTGCCTAGTGCAACAGAGAGGGAAAGTCAATGAGAAGGAATTGGGTGCGAGTTCCTGCTTTGCAAGTAATGGGTTGACTAATGAGACAGCCACAAACGTCAATGCCATCCCATCTCACCCTCTCACCTGTGCTGCAAGGCTTCAACAATCATACCCCGTCTCCACTTAGGAAAATTGTCCTTTCTCAAATGCTAGCAGCTCAGCAATGTGCTCTCTTAACCCAGGCCAAGCACATAGTAAAAGAACTCCAAAAAGGGTTCTAGCCGGAAGTGATCTTTCTCCTCCATGCTCCCAAAGCAGATTATAGCTCCTCCGTAAACGTGCTTCACATTTGTGCCCCATGTTTGGTTTGTTACTTATGTATATATTATCCTCTCTTCTAGATGGAGCTTCTGTAGGAAAGGAGAATCCTTTTTAATTTTTTGGTATTACACCCAGCTCAGGACCTTGCTCAGTTGCTTAAATTGAATGAGAAATGTATCCAAGTACCCACTGATGTTGAAAATTCAACTTGTTCTAATATTGTGGACTGTCTGTACCTGGCATATCTGTGTCCCAATTTGAGGAACTGTTTTTCAAGTTGACGTGAATGGATTCCTTACAGATGCTCAAGCATCAATTTGGTTTTCCCTAAATCCTGCAGATCAGGAAGCTGGTATCCAAGTTTGCTTTAAGAACTTTCATTATTATAAATATATGTATGAAATTTTGTCTCCAGAATTTTTTTCTCAACAGGTAATCCTGACATAATAACAACCAATTTTGAGATGCTTCAAAAATAACACTGCAGTAGTAGCCACTCCTAAAACAAAATATTTCTCCTTTCCTTCAATATATGTAATCACATATGACATATAAAATCCGCTTACTGGATAAATTTATCTTTAAAAGATTATCTATATTTATTAAAAGTTAAAATACATATACTCTTTGACCTGGAATCAGGTATAACAATGTATTTTACAGAGCTACTAGCACACATGTGGAATCATATATGTACAAGGCTACTAACAGAAGTATTAGTACAGTAACAAAAATTAAAAATCAACCATAAATAGGAAATAGATTAAATAACGGTACACTTATGAATGAAACACTAACTTCTAAAACAGAAAGTAAAAAGAAAGGGAAAATAAGGAAAACTGGATCAATCCAACTTATGACAGGAAAGGAGAAAAAATAATGCAAAGAAATGATAATCACAGTAAAGTGAATACAAATTAAAATTTATCTACTAAAAGACAGTAATTCAAAGACTAGATTTAAAAGGAAATAATAGTTTTATGCTATTTACAAGACAGACTTAAAACCTAACAACATAAAAATGTTGAAAGAAAGAATATACCAGGTAAATACTAAAAAACAAAACTAGTATTAACAATAGAACCTGATTTTTTTTAAAAAACAGATTAAGAAAACTAGATTAAAGGAAAAAATCATTATTACTGAGATAGAGAGGATCATTATTTAAATGATAAAAAGAAGCAATTTATCACCACGTTTAAAAATCCCAAACCAGAACTCAAAGTGCTAACAAAATCATCTTAAAATAAAATAAGCAAATGCTGATTTAGCCATAAGGAGAAACCGCCAAATCCACAATCATTTTAGGAGAATGGGTTTAAGAAAGGAAAAAAAAAAAAAAGATTTCTATATGCTCTTAAGAGAAAATCTAAAAAATAATGACATGAAAAAGTTGAAAGGAATGGAAAAATATGTACCATTAAAAGGAAACCCGACATAGGAATGTCATTATCAGACAAAACAGATTTTAAGACAACTAAGAAGTTAACAAGCTGACCCTACAATAAACATGAAAATTTTGAAAAAGAATAGGAAAGGAGAACTCACCATAAGAGAAATCAAAACTTGTTATAAAGCTATAGTTGTTAAAACGGTGTTACAGTGGTACATGGACAGATAAATGGACCAATGAAGCAGACCCAGGCACTGAAAGGAACCTTTTATATGACAGCATGGCACAATCATTAAGAGTAGAGAGGAAATAGGCTGGGCACAGTGGCTCACACCTGTAATCCCAGCACTTCGGGAGAATGAGGTGGGCGGATCACCTGACGTCAGGAGTTCGAGACCAGCCTGGCCAACATGGTGAAACCCCATCTCTACTAAAAATACAAAAATTAGCTGGTCGTGGGGGCAGACACCTGTAATCCCAGCCACTCAGGAGGCTGAGGCAGGACAATCACTTGAACCCAGGAAGCAGAGGCTGCAGTGAGCCGAGATCACACCATTGCACTCCAGCCTGGGCAACAAGAGTAAAACTCCATCTCAAAAAAAAAAAAAAAGAAAAAGAAAAAGAGTAGAGAGGAAATAAATGGTCCAGAAGAACTGCCTATCCTTGTGAAGGAGAGGGTGATTCAAAATTAGGTCCCTTTCCTCACTCTATATGCAAAAAGTAAACTTCAAATAAATTATACAATTAAATGTGAAAATCAAGACTTTAAAATAAACAATGCAGTAGGCTGCTTTATAACATCAACTTAGGGAAGGCTTTTTTAAATTTCATAAATATAAATCATAGAGGAAAAGATGAATTGTCTACCTTAAAACTAAAGACAACAGAAACAAAATTAAAAGGTAAGCCAGACAAGAGAAATATTTGTAGTGACAAGGGTTTAACTTTCTTTCTTTTTTTGCACCTGGCCCACAAGGGTTTAACTTTCTAAAAATATAAAGAACCAGTCAGGTGCAATGGCTTATACTTATAATCCTAGCACTTTGGGAGGCCAAGGAGTGCAGATCACTAGGGGCCAGAAGTTGGAGACCAGCCTGGCAACATGGTGAAACCCCATCTCTACTAAAAATATAAAAAGTAGCTGGGTGTGGTGGCACTTGCCTGTAATCCCAGCTACTTGGCTACTCAGGAGGCTGAAGCAGGGGAATCGCTTGAATCCAGTAGGCAGAGGCTGCAGAGAGCCAAGATCGTGCCACTGCACTATAGCTTGGGCAACAGAGTGAGACTTGTTCTCAAGAAAAAAAAAAAAAAAAAATATATATATATATATATACACACACACATACACACTATTAATATAAGATGCCCAAAAATCCAATTGTAAAAAAGGGGCAAAGGTTGTAAACTGGTAATTCATAAAAACAAATGAAGACGTGCTTATTGGTACTATATGCTCAGTATTAAGCAAATTAAATGAGATAGGATCGTGCATATTCGACCAACAAAATATCTGAATGTCTGAATATAATAAATGTTAATGAGGGAGTGGAGAAATGGGAATGCTCATACAGCTGATAGAGAGTAAACTGGTATAACTATTGTGGCAGCCGGTTAATATTTAGTAAAGCTGAAGATGCATGGTCCACTGTGGTACAGGCCCTGGAGATATTATCAAATGTGTACACAAAGAAACATGCACAAGGATATTTTCTGCAATACTGTAATACTCAAAAGCCAATAACATCCTCAGTGGTCATCAATAGGAAAATGAATTAATGATAGGATTAATCATATAGTGAAATACTATGTAGCAGTTGAAATGAATGTACTAACTCTTTACCTGTATCAACATGCTATACATAAAAAACAATGATGAGCAATAAAAGCAAATTGCAAAAGGATATATATTATGAAACTAATTATGTTTAGTTTTAAAATACACAGAATAATATGGATTGTAGTAAAAAATATAAAATCATGAAGAGTAAGGACAGGTACAAACAGGATAGTGCTTCTCTGTGAGAGTAAGGAAATGACCTAACAAGATCTTCAATGAATGTGCAGTTTTTCCTTTATTTAAACACAAAACGATCTGAAGTAAATAAGGAAAAAGGTTGACAGTGGTTACAATTAAATAGTGGCTGTATATCAACACTCTTGGTTACAAACAACAGGATCTACACTTGCTAGTTTAAACAAACAGAAAAAAATGGCTCACAAGTCTCAGGCCTGGAGGTCAGGAGTATGAGGCTCAAAAAAACGCCAATTTTTATACCCTGGAGCAGCTGTGGGGGAAAAACTGCTAAGCACAGCCTCCACACCTTGCACCATTACATGGGACCTCTGCCACTGCTGCATTGAAAACCACATCACTGCTCCTCTCAACAACTACTCTTGTCTGCAAAGTACTTGCTTCCACATTTCACACAGGTATGTCTAATTGGTGAGCCCATGCTACCTGTCTCAGCCGTAGCTGTAAGGAAGGGTAGGAAATTAAATTTCATTCTTCTTCTGGGTAAGGTAAGATCCATGGAGTGGGAAGTTGCCAAAAAGCAGGTGTTCAAACAGTGCTAGTTGCCCAAAAAGCATGAAAAACGCCCACTCAAACAAGAGTTTGTGAAATTATTCTCTGTACTTTTCTGTATACTCAAATATTTCACAATTTTTAAGAGAAAAAAATGTTGAAGTATATAAATTCACAAACAACAAAGGGAATGGAAAAAAAAAATCAATAAACAAGAGATGTCAACCAAATTCTAAAAGACAAAAAGCTAAGTAACTAATAAAACACTAGAGAACGTCATCACCACCTAGAAAACATGTGGAGGAAGTTCCATCAGAGGCAGCCAAGCGGCCCAACTGGGCCTTAGATCAGAGACGGCAGAAGTTCATAGATGACAGAAGACAGTAGAGGGATTAATTAAATCTAAACTAATTAAAAAGAAAGGAATTAATTAAAGGCCTGTATACAAACGGGTTGAACACTATCCCATCTTCAAATACAGAATGGCCTAAATTCAGGGAGTGCCCCATGTAAAATATCAAAGGGATCTTTTATAAAGTCAGTGAAAGAACAGTCTGCATAAAACTAGGAGTCAATTTAGAAATCAGTAGCCAAGACAAGACCTCTTCATTCTAGCATTTTACAAACCCTCGTCCTACCAGCCAGATTCACCTACTCATCCTTAGTGATGCCTACAAGAAGCCAAACCTTGCTCAAACCACAGAGCTGCCACTCAACCTCCCTACATCCACATTTTCAACTACAAACTGACAGCCAATAAACATAAGACATTTGAAAAAAGCCTGAAACATGTAAGTGAAAGACTAAGATAAAAAATCTGTCACCAGAGAAAAGAGATAATTCAGGGACTAGAAAGTGAATGAACAAATGAATACCAATTATATCGATATCTTCAGAGAGCTTCATGAAAAAACATCACATCCAAAAACCTGAAAAGGATGCTATGAAAGAGAAGCAAAAGACAGCTTTCAGAAATTAAAATATGCTTGACATAATGTATTACAAGTAAAATATAAATGCAGGAAAAATAATAGAGAAAGGGAAAAAAACACAGAGGACCAATACAGAAGATGCAAATACAGCTGAACGGTATTAGAGAAACAAAGAACCTCCAGAGAAAAGAAAGAACAAAAAAAGTAAAAAAACATAAAAGAGAGATGTCAAAAATTGAAAGGACCGCCTACGTACCAAGCAGAATAACTGACTAAAGACCTAGATACGGGTACAGGATTGTCGAACTTTACACCACCAAGAATAAAAAGATCCTAAGTGTCCAGAGTGTGTTGAGGGAAGGCGATGCAGAGAACAGGTTACATAAAAAGGAACAAGAATCAGACTGGCATCAGACCTTTTATTAGCAAAATCAGATGCCAGAAAATAACTGAGCTGCTTTCAAAGTTCGAAGAGAAAACTACTTTTCAATCTAGAATTCTGTATCTAGCTTAATAGTTCATCAAATACAAGTGCAGAACCCACTTTAGACATGCAATGGCTCACCTCTTAGACATTTTTTCCTAGAAAGGAGCATAGAGACAAATGCTAGCAAAATGAGAAAGTTAATCAAGAAACAGGAAGATATGGACTGACCTCACCCAGAAAAAAAAAAAAAAAAAATACAGCCTTCAGAGGAAGCCTGTGAACAAGACACAGAAAACTTGCTGACACTGAAGCAGAAACTTTTTGGCAAAATATTTTTGTAAGACTGACTACCAAGGCTTACTCAAGGTGTGGGTAAACAGGCACTCTTACACACTGTTACTGGGAGTAACATTCGGCAAAACCTTTGGGAAACCGGCATCTGGTAGCGCCTGTCAGTAATTCCACTGCCAGAAAGCTATTCCTACAAAATTATTTATACATAAGGCAACGTAGAACATAAGAGCATGTGAGTGAAACTGTCTCCGTTCAAATTCCCACTTTACCACTTTCAAGCTCTATGCTGTTTCCTCATTTAAAAAATAGAAATATCTTCTCAACAGGTCACTGTGGGGATTATACAAAAGGTTCCAGGTGATGAGCTTAGCACAAGGCCCAGCACATGATAAATACTCAGTTAACGTTATTTACTACAAACATTTCCCATTTTTGCACAAGGATGTTTACTGTGCCACTGTTTGGCAAAAAATGCAAGCAAGTATAGTATGATCCTATTTATGTTTTTTAGAAATTACATTTATATTTGTATGTATCTGCCTAGATCTGCAGGAAAAAAAAAGAGAAAACATGCCAAAGTGTTGCATCCACGGAGCAGGAAGGGAGTAACCTGTTTTTGTACAGTTTCCATTTGAGCAACATGAAGTGTTTCATACTTTAGAGAAAAGAAAAAGTAAAGATCACTATTAATCTTGGGGAGAAAGGGTTAATCTGTATAAGCACACACAAACATATTAAAAACATTTATTTTAATTTATTAAACTTATTTAAATTTTAGAAAGTTATTAGGTAGATGTACATTCCTCTGTTGGTTTAGTTTGATCTTCAGTTACCTGTGAAAACATGAATAGCTTTACTTTCCTAATAAACACTTTCAGTTTTACCCCTTCACCCACCATTGTAAATCATTTCATAGCCCTCTTATAATGACCCTTTATCTTTCTCCTTCAATAGTAATTATTACAGAAAGTTAGGTAAGGAGAAAGATTTAAAGGCTAAGTAACCAATATAAATTATCAGGTAAAGAACAATAATTCCATTCAAAAATATAATCTAAGGCATATTATACCTAGGCTTCTCAAGTTTGCCATTTTACTTTTCAGCTGTAAAACAAAATCATTAGTGTAAGAAAAAACACCTGAAGTGCTGTAACAAGCTATTTTAAATCAGTTTATTTTCTTTTGGAGTATAATTCCATTTAGAATAAAGCATATTACAGATTTAGTCTAAATAGATATCTCTATGTCCCTATTTCTATTCTGTGTCACTCAGACTCATCAAACAGACACGGCTAAATCTGAATTCAACACCCCCAAAACCTGTCCTGCCTGCATCATCTATCTTGGGAAAGGGCTCCACCCGGCTACCTAAGGACAGCATTCAAGAATTCACTCTCTTCTTCCTACCTGCATATTCCATCAACAGTCCTATTCATTCAGCCTAAGTTAACTCTCACAGTCCTTCTCCCTATCATGGCTGAACTTTAGGGCCTCATTCTCTTCTATCCCCCTAACAGAACTCTTGGCTTAAGTCATAGCTATATCCCATGATACCCCTACAATGAGCTTTTAAACAAAAATAGCTGATCAACAGGTCACTTCCCTACTCAAAATTCTCCAGTTACTCTCTATTATCTCAGTGAGGTGGAGGAGGAAAGTCAGGAATGCAAGTTCCACAACATGGAACACTAGCCCCTCATATTCTGTTTACCGACTGACTGATTACCTACCCTACATGTGACCTGTACATTCAAATTCATCTTACATTCATCATGTTCTCTATGTAGGCAAGTGACTTCCTCTGAGATAACCTCCAACCCATTCTCCAACAGAGTATCTGCATGGTCCACTTTTATTCACCCTTTAAGATCAGCTTAAGAGACTCCAATTCCTTGAAGCCTTCCTTAAGCAACTCCCCAGCTTGGTCTGAGTCCTCTTCTTTATGCCGGAGCCCCACATGTACATCTGAACTGTCTCCGTATAAGTCTAATTATCAATCAACATTACTTCCCTAAGACAGCAAGTACATTTTATTCATTTTTTTGTACCACCAGACCATAACAGTACCTGGCACACAATAAACTATCGTAAGTCTGTGTTGAATCAATGAACCACATTTAATCTAATCCCTTCAGAAAAGCAAAATGGACAGTAGAAAAAAGCAACTAAACTAGAATAAATGTTTGAAAAAATATGTATTGACTAACATCATTAGATATTCTAGGTAAGACACTGTCTCTACTGTTTTTCTACATTTTTCATTCCTTTTAAAGTGTTCAGTTACTATTGCTTCTTTAGTTTCCCAAACTATTTATTTAATATTCATTTCTTTTGTTTCTTTTTTAAATTGTTTTTAATTTTACTTAACTCCAAGTAAACATGCTGAACATTTCTTCTTTAGTTTCTTAATCTAAAACGGTCACTGTGACCAACTAAAAAGAGAAAATTACTCTCTCCATTCAAAGATAATTTCTTCTCCTTAGAAAAAAAATTTATATACCCCTTACCCAAGAACATTATGATGAAGTCCGTAAACAATAATTCCTATCTGTACAGTCATTAATAAAACTAGGTTTATATATCATTATGAAAAACTGTCAATAAATATTTCTTGGGTAACCCCTTCATGTGCTAATGTTGTGTTCAAACTTTGGGCTTACATAAATAAAACAAATCCTGAAAGGCTTGGTAGAAGATAACTGTACAGGCAAAGAAAACAATCAAAAAACAGTATGTGGATGTATACAATCAAGCACAAACTTATATGAATGAGTAATTATTTGTTAGAGATTACTCTGAGACTGTTCCACGGAGGAGGTATGACTCGGGCGAGGTAGTGAAGAACGACTGTGTGGTAAATAGACAGAAAGAGAATGGGAAATGGAGTCCAGAAAGAAAAACTAAGCAAACTTCAAAATAAGTTTAATGTGTGATGCTTAATGTGCTTGCAAGCTTAACCAGAGTGTTTGTGTCATTGTGGAAATCAGGATAAGGAGGAAGGCCTAATGAGGCCAGATTACACAGGACAGCTATCAGATAACCTAAGTAAAAGAGGCACACTTAACCTATGAAATAGGAAACAGGGATAGTTGTGGTCAAGAAATACAATCACTCAGGCCGGGTGCGGTGGCTCATGCCTGTAATCCCAGTACTTTGGGAGGCCAAGGCGGGTGGATCAGGAGGTCAGGAGATCGAGACCATCCTGGCTAACACAGTAAAACCCTGTCTCTACTAAAAATACAAAAAAATTAGCTGGACGTAGTGGTGGGCACTGTAGTCCCAGCTACTTCGGAGGCTGAGGCACGAGAATCGCTTGAACCCGGGGGGTGGAGGTTGCAGTGAGCCGAGATCGCGCCACTGCACTCCAGTCTGGGAGACAGAACAAGACTCTGTCTCAAAAAAAAATACTATCATTCCTACTCATGAAGTCTAAATGCTAATGACAAAGAATAAACTACAAAAACACAAACATTCAAATCTGGTTTTTCAGGACATGAGGACATTTGCACATTTACTGTTAATGGCTAAAGGCAGCTTTAAAATATACCTGACAAATCTTAATCCTTTAAATATTCATTAAGTTTACAAAAAAAACCTAAGATCTAATTGATACCATTACAACTATTAAGAACTATTACTATTACATAGTAATATTATTTCTCTTCAAGTTCTACAATATCATTTTCATGACATTAACAAACAAAATCAAAAGAGAACTGCCAAGTTACAACTTTACCCTTACCAAAACACTAGTGAACAATCACAACACTGCTTTGACTATTGAGACAACTTACTTTTTTCCTTTCTCTTTGTTTCTTTCATTTCCCCCCACCCCTTTGGTTGTTATTGGTTAATTTTGATGAATTTCTTTATAGAAGAGTACTCATTAGCTGTCAAAAACACTTACCATTTTCCGAGATCTTTCCAATAGCTTATCCCATATCGTAAAATGTGCCTTGAAAAGAAAAGATTTGCGATGAACTAAATAAAGTAGTAAAGTCAAAGTAAAAGGGACAGACTCTTTATATAGCTTTTAGAACAAAATAAATAAAAAGCTAGGCAGCACTAATATAGATAAGTGGTTATAAAAGTAGCAAAAAAAGGTACTACATAGGATAGCTGCTTTGTTTTTTGCTTTCTTCAATTGCTTAAACCCAGGAGGCAGAGGTTGCAGTGAGCATTTAAGAAAAAAACACTTAAGGATTGAACGTGCCCTTCTTTCACTTTTGCCCCTCTTAATCATTTCCATCACAGAAAGCATTTCTTCTAATAGGAAGCAAAAATCTGCCCTACTTTCCCATAGATTGTGGTTCAATCCTTAAATAGCCAGTTTCAATATTCTAGAAGTCATTCTTCAAATCATAAGAAGACAGTCATTAAAAACCAACTGTGACATCTTCACACTGAAATGGCAGACCCAAAGAATTCATCAAGTTACCCTAAAGAATAAAAAAACCTAACAAAGACAATAGTAAATTTTTTTTTTTTTTTTTTTGAAATGGAGTCTCACTCTGTCGCCCAGGCTGGAGTGCAGTGGTGTGATCTCCACTCGCTGCAACCTCCGCCTCCCGGGTTCAAGTGATTCTCCTGCCTTGGCCTCCCAAGACAATAGTAAAATTTAAACTCAATTTCCTTAGTCCTTAATAATCTCCTGTAGCAGAGGATTATCAGAATGCATTAAGGAAAACTGTACAAAGTGTATCATGACCACATCAATTTTATTAGGTCAACTGAAAGTGATACCAAGGCATATGGGCAGGCCAGTGACTATTTCATACTGCATAAAATCTGTAATAAAAGGTAAAATTAATAAATATCGACACACAAACCCTTCTAGGGAAAGAGCTGATTGGTATGTTTGAAGGGAACACCATGCCTGACTCAGGCGGAATGAACTGCTGGTGTAGAGACCTTGAGCTGTGGCTGGAATACAGTGAATGAGGAAAGGAGTGGTGTTAGATAAAGTCAGAGAAGCAAGCAGGGATCAGATAATGCAGGGCTTTGTGAGACAGGGTAAAGAGTTGGGATTTGTTCAAGGGAAGCCATTGGAAAGTTTGGGGCAGAGGAAGTACACAACAGATTGTGTATTAAAAAGATCACTTTGGCTACTAAGTGGAAAATGCACTGTAGAGGGCAAGAGTGAAAGCAAGGAAGGTGAGTGAAAACAAAGAGGAACTTGGATAAGGGAAGTAGTAGTAGATGAGATGCTAAAAGGTGCATAGATTCAGAATATGTCTCAGAGTTAAAAGTTGAAAGGACTTGTGGATAGACGGGCTGGGGCATGGCTACGAGGGAAAAAGAGAATCAAGGATTACCTTAAACAACTAAGGAAACCAGGGGTATCCAATCTTTTGGCTTCCCTGGGCCACACTGGAAGAAGAATTGTCTTGGACCACACATAAAATATGCTAATACTAATGACAGCTAATGAGCTAACAAAAAAAAAAAGTCACAAAAAAATCTCATAATGTTTTAAGAAAGTTAAGAAAGTTTACAAATTTGTGTCTCATTCAAAGCCATCCTGGGCCACATGCAGCCCACGGGCTGTGAGTTGGACAAGCTTGAGTTAAAGGATGATCCCATTTTCTGAAATTGGGAAGGCTAGGAAAAGAAGCAGGTATGTGGAGAAAAGTCAAAGTCAAACGTACATGAGAGGTGTGCTAAATTTTACAAAATGAGAGCGATGAAAGAAGATATAAATAAGTAAGAAGATACAGTAAGTTCATAGACTGGAAACCTCAACATATTAAAGATGTCAATTCTCCCCAAACTGCTATACAGCTCTAATGGACTTCTTATCAGGATCTCAGGAAGACTCTGTTGAGATTGAAAATATTATCCTAACATTAAAACTCAAATAAACTAGAAGACTTAAAACAATTTTGATTAAAAAATAGTAACAAGGGAGGAATTACTCTACCTGATTTCACAGCCTATTTAGAGCTACAGTAATCAAGACTGTGTGGTACTGGTAGAAAACTAAACATACGTGATCAACGGAACAGAATAGAGGACCCAAAATAGACCTACATAAATATGCTCAGCTAATTTTTAACAAAGATGCAAAAGTAACTCAGTGGAGGAAGAGTGGCCTTTTCAACGAATGGTACTGGAGCAATTTGACATCTATAGCCCACCAAAAAAAAAAAAAAAAGCCTAAACCTAAACCTAAATCTCACACTCATAGAAAAAGTAACTCAAAATGGACCACAGATTTAAATAAATGTAAAACTCTAAAACCTTTAGGAAGAAAAAAAAAAAGGAGAAAATCTTTGGGATCTAGGGTTAATCAAAGAGTTCTCAGAATTAACCCCAAAAACATAATCCATAAAAACAAAAATTTGATCAAATTTTGATAAACTAGTTTCATCAAAATTAAAAACGTCTTCTCTGCAAAAGGCTGCTCAGAGAATGAGAAAACAAGCCACATATACAAACACAAGGTAAAGACAAAGAAAGAAATCTGAAAACTACATATCTAACAAAAAACTAATATCTACAACACATAAAGAACTCTCAAAACTCAACTGTTAAAAAGTAAAACAATCTAATTAGAACACTAGCAAAAGACATAAACAGACATTGCACCAATGAAGATATATAGATGGCAAATAAGTACATGAAAAGAATGATCAATACCATTGGTCAATAGAGAAATTCAAATTAAAACTACAATGAGATATCACTACAAATGTACCAGAATGACTAAAACAAAAAAAAGTACTGACAGCATCAAATGCTAGTGAGGATGTGGAAAAACTGATCACTCATACATTGCCAGTGGGAATGTAAAATGGTACAGTCACTCTGGAACATTTGGTTGTTTCTTAAAAAACTAAACATACACTTATCACTTAACGCAGCAACTGCACTCCTATATTTAGCCCAGAGAAATAATCACAAAAACCTGCACACAATGTCACAGCAGCTTTATTTGTAATAGCCAAAAACTGAAAAGAACTCAGATGTCCTTTGATGGATGAATGGTTAAACAAACCATGATATATCCAGACCAAGTAATACTACTTAGCAATAAGAATGAATGAACTATTGATATACTCAATGACTCGGATGAATCTCCAGAGAATTATACTGAGTGAAAAGTGCCAATCCCAAAAAATTACATACTGTTCAATCCCATTCATGTAATATTCTTGAAGTAACAAAATTATAGAAAAGGAAAACAGATAAGTAGTTGGCAGGGGGAAGCAGGCAGGGTAATGGGGGCAACAGAGGGAAGTGGCTGTAAATGCGTGTGTCTATAAAAGGCCAACATGAGGGATCCGCTTGGTGAAGGAATTGGTCTGTATCTTCATTGTATCGCTGTCCATACCCTGGTGGTGATACTGTATTTTAGTACTGCAAGATGCTACCATTGAGGAAACCAAGTAAAGATACATGGGATCTCTCTATGTCTTATAACTGCAATTATCTCAAAATCAAAAATTTAAATAAAAAGATTGGCAAGGGGTAGGAGCAATGTGGAAAAGGTCAGGCTTCGGGTCATGAATGGATCATTAAAATTAGAGGGAAGATCATGCCAAATTTAAGCTTAAAAGGCATTCCAGAAAGGTCTTACCAATATGCACTCTAATACCCGCTCTGTCAATGTACCCTCACCTATGCTAATTTGAAAATTTTAAATACTATATCAATTTGATTTAATTTTTTCAACTAATGTTTCTTTTGTAACTGTATATTTACACCCTGGGCAACTTTGTTTTTAATCATAAACCTGAGTTTACAAAATATTATATAAATTTCATATAACTTTCATATAACTTATGAAAAATTAGAAGTTTATAGTCTTCAAACTGGTATAAAATCAAGTCCGGAATTATATCTATACCCAAATTGGAAGGCCTGGAACTTTAAGCTTTACTTACTCTTAAGTGAATGGGTAAAGACAAACCCTGGAATCTTCGTATGAGACTTGGCTGGGTGGGTTGAAGATTGTGAACTGCTGACACGTCATACTGGAAACAAATACTTGTTCTTGGAATAAGAGGGCCCTCACTCACATCAATGAAGTCACCTATTCTGATTGATTTAAAAATAAACAAACAAAACTGCAACATCAAATAATTTGTAAGAGCTTGAAAAAGAAATCTCTTCATTCTCTTTGCTGCTAGCATCCCTAATCAAGAACATTATATATGGTTCAATTTAGTTTCTGATGACCCCTGACATAATGACCTCAAGTAAAGAGGCTAAAACTTTGAAAATTAAATCAAATGAACCATTTTCTTAATTAGCATTGATATAAATTTTAAGGTCTTTAAGAGTCACACAACACATCATGCTATCAAGCTGATCCAACTGCCTAAAACTGATCATCTACAACCTTAAAACAACCCATATAACAAAGTTTAGAATTCAGCGTGTAGGACAGATTGTGTTCAGAAACAAAGGGCAGTTTCTAGAGGAAAAAAGTTAAGTCCAATTGATAAAAACAGGAGGTTGAGAAAACAGATCCAGGTCATGAAGTCATCTCTGCAGAATGCATTGTCTTGGGACTTGCTCTCCATGGGAGAATGTCATCATAAGCAGTGAACCTTTCTCATCCATGTGTCAGAAAGCACATTCTGGCTTAACTTACATGTATCATATATAATTACTAGTCAGTCAATATTCATATGAATTACCATGTTCAATTCATAACAATGACTATCTTGCCCAGTTTCAAAACTAACTCCTAAAAATTACATTCTTAAACAGTGGTTTTCAACTCAAAATTAAATAAAAATAGCAAACAATAAAATGAGGATTATAGAAACTACAAGTGTTCCTGAAGGTAATTTAAAGCTTCCATTTACCACTATTTCAAAACAATGAACAAAGCAAAAAAAATAAGGTGAAAAGAACAAAATAAGGTACAAATTCATCTTTTTTGGTCATATGCTTCATTCAGATAACAATAAAGCTAAGCCTTACTCTAACACAGCAGCCAGTTTTTAGACTTTTACTTACCTGTGTAGCTTGACTATTCTCTCAGGGTTCTGAGATGCCTTCTCTTCTATGAAATCTATTTTGTACCTGAAAAGCAGCAAAGAAAAAAACATTTTTTTAACCCTAAATAAGTAAAAAAGTGTTTAAAGATACCTCCCTTTCTCTTCCTCTTCAGCCATACTTTTCGAGAGTGGGTTACACTTGGAACCTCCCTTTAATCTGGCCACAGCCCCATTACTCTGCCGAACTGTTCTCAACAAAGTCACAGGTACCTGCTTGGTGTCAACCCAATGAACACTTTTTGTTCCTCATTTTCTTAATACCAATGCTCACCTCCACTTCTCAAAGTGTTCTTTCTTTCCATTTTTATTTATTTTGATTTTTTCTGAGACAGGGTCTTGCTCTATCACCCACCCTGGAATGCAGTGGCACAATTATAGCTCACTGCAGCCTCAAACTTCTGAGCTCAAATGACCCTCCTGCCTCAGCCACCCATGTAGCTGGGACTACAGGTGTGAGCCACCATGCCGGGCTAACCTTTTTTTTTTTTTTTTTTTTTTTTTTTGGTAAAGATAGGGTCTTGCTAAGTTGCTCAGGCTGGTCTCAAACTCCTGGCGTCAAGCAATCCTCCTGCCTCAGCTTCCTAAAGTGCTGGGATTATAGCGATGAACCACCACACCCAACCTCAAAGTGCTCTTTCCATGGGTATCAGTGGCATTCCTTACTGCTTGTTATTTTACATCTCTGGCCACTCTTGTGTTTCTCTACCCTTTGAGAATTCTATGCTACACCCTCTTTTCACTTCAAGCATCCTTAGGCCAGCCTCTGAGCTACAATTTAGGTAGTTATATCTCCTATATCTCTGCCTCTCATCTACCTACCTCTTCTGACCACAGTTTCCAAGACCCATCTGGACATCCCTCTAGGATGTTCCACAAGCACCTTACCCTGAAATTTCCAAACTGCACAAATTATCACCTCTTTCCCGCCCAAACTTGTTCTTCCTCCTGAATTTCCTGTCTTAGTACACCACCACCAACCACCCAGGTGTCCATGTGAAAAACCTGGGAGATTTCCTTGATTTCTTTCTCCAACCATATCCCCTCCATTCAATTCATTATCAGGTTGTCAATTTGACTGCCCAGTGTCTCTCAAATCTACCCAATCCTGTCAGTATAGCTAAAGGCACAGATGAAACTGCACAGCCCTGGTTCAAACCATGACTTTACCATTTACTATTGAGAGCTTTGTCCATTTACCCCAGGGTGCTAAACAAGTAATATGTGTATGTGCACCACAGGTGTATGCACAATTATGCGGCAAAGTTGGGGAACACTGGTTTATGCAAAAACACCCCCTGACTGCTACAGTCCCCCAGGCACTAATAAGGGTGCCAAGTACCTTGAATACTTGTCCCTCCTGACCCACCTCCAAGAGATGCTCCTGTCCCCTGAGAGTCAAAGCCACAAAAAGCCCCACCATTACCCCTGCAGCAGAAAGGCTCAATCACTGACCCACCTTCAATGATTCAACTCTTCTGTCCTGTCCAGCTTCCTCCAGAACTATCCCCTTCCTCCTACCACACACTCAACTAAGCTACAAAAGTCCCAGAAGCCCCTACCAGTCCCTGACAGTTAGGTAGCGGAATGGGAAATCTCAATGTATACTGAATGGAAGTCAAAAGTACACTGTCCAGTAAAGTACCACGGTGCACTTAAATGTGATTAGTACTAGTTAAAATGAGCCTTAAGTGTAAAACACATACCAAGTTCTGAAGATTTAGAGTGAAAAAGAATATAAAATAACATCAATATTTTAATATTGATTACACTGAAATAACATTTTAGATGTATCATTTAAATAAAATCATTAAAATTAACTTCACCTTTTGACTTTTTTTCAACGTAACTACTAGAAAATTTCAAATTATACAGATGTCTCATATTATATTTCTTTTGGGAGCATGTGCCTAGACTTCTGGCACAGAGAGTGACTTGACGTGTTCAGACAGTCCAAAGAATTTTCTTGTAGAATCAATGCTATAAATGGTGGTTTGGTTCTACAATACTATCTGTACTCTAGTTAAAACAGTACATTACAACTGGTTTCTAAGTCCACTGGTTCCAGGACACGCTAAAAATGTTTCAAGATAAAGTGTTTCATGGGCAAATATATTTGGGAAATTTTCAGTGTCCACTTTCGGAGACCCTTGAGTGCAATGAGTAAAATTTTTTAAGCCACTGTTCTTCAAACTCAGCTTAACACAGTACATGGTTTCATATGTCAATTAACATCTTATGGAAGAATATTATGAGACAGATAGCTTTGAAAAATGCTAAGCTATAAAGTATGTGTCAAAAACACACTCATAACTAACCCAATATATTTATGATAACCTATCCCTATAAGAATTTGTAATTCAACTTCTAGATACCTAAAGAAATTCTAATCTATAACCTTTAACAATCTGTAGGTGCATATTTTGACTTCAGACTCTGGTTTTTTGGGGTTTTTTTTGGTTTTTTTTTTTTTTTTGGTTTTTTTTACAGCACAGATTTCTCTTTCTAAAGTTCTAATATTCTATTAGGTTAACGTTAACATGTAGCTTATGTTCTTATAACCGGTAGTAGAAGGTGAAGTGAAAGTTTTCTGAGTGAGAATTGAGAAGCCAGGCAGGAATTAAAATGTTAAAGAAAATCCATCAAATGAATAATTCACATGCAGAACACTAAAACCTGGCTGTGTAAACATTTTACTTCAGCTATTAGCCCTCTTCCAAACTGCTTGCATTTTCAATCTTATCAGTGTCATTTTAAGTGTGGAGGGGTAGGAGAGAAACGCTGCCAAATACACAAAATTATATAGTTGCTTAACATGCGTTATCACTTCACACTAGAAAGAAAAAAAGGAAACATACTACTATGTTGATATAATGAGAAAGGCTGGTCCAAGAACAGAGAAGTAAAACAAAGTGAGAAAATTATCAAGAGAGGTGGGGAACATTTTCCTCAGCAAAATAAATGAGATCAGAAACAGAGGTCTCAGAGTGGAAAATAATACACTGTCATATGTATATCAAATATAAAAATTCTTAAGACCTGAATTTTCTTTATTACATATAATACTGGAAGGGTTAGCCTTGATTTAAAGAAAGCCAACACTTACTTGTTGTGTTGAAATATTTCCAATGCCACTTTTGCTTCAACTTCCAGAGTTTCAAATGGAAGATCTTTATAAATTAAAGCATGAGCATCCTTTGTGAAAGAACGTAAGTTCTCCTTAAAAATGAAAGTAATAACCTTTAGTAACAATTTACTGAAAAGCATTTCTCCATAAGCCAGCTGAGACAAAACTCTATGCTTAGTACTGCAAATCCAACTAAAATAAAAGACAAAATCAAGTTTGTTAGAACAGGTAGTTATTAATTTGCAACAAATGAAGTTTTCGACCATAAACTATAAAACTTCTTATTTACCAGTAATTAAGGTGTCAGCCTTCATTAATACTAATTACTGAAGATAAACCTATAAAGAAATTTTATCCAAATTATATTATAATTTCATTCAAATTACACAATCTTAAAATGTTATTAAAACTATGATGCACCAAGTAAAAATGCCAATAATTCAATAGCAAGACATAAAAATGTGTTTACAGTATGAATAAAACTAAGTTTATTAAATGTATGGGGAAAAAGTTATTGTTTTCATAATTAAGAAAGTTTCACTAGAAATGTAACATCATCACCAACCCTGTACAAAGTATAACATGTCCAATATTAAGTTTTTGCTTAATAAAAATGTCAATTTTACACAATTAAAATGATGAATAATACGCATTAACAATGTTTGTAAGATTTTTAATAAAAATTCTAATTAAACTTTCATACTACAAATCATTACTAATACAGAAAAGACCAAGCACTATTACACACAAGTAATTTTTATAATAAAATTATTTCCATAAAAATCCTATTAGACTTTTTTGCATGAAATGACTCTTCTCTATAAAGAATAATTTACTATATAAAAAAATCAACATTCATGGTTTAATACAACTATTCCTTCAATGTAACTCTACTCTACTTTCTTTAAGCTGTCTACTCAACCCAACTCCATGCAGTTTGCAATCAGCTTGCGTATTTCTTTTGTAAGGTTTTATCTTTTAAAAAAGAAAAATGCAAAAGCCAGGCACAGTGGCATACACCTGCAGTCCCAGCTACCAGGAAGGCTGAGACAGGAAGATTGCTTGGGCCCAGGAGTTCAAGGCCAGCCTGGGCAACATCGTGAGACCCCCATCTCTTAAAAAAAAAAAAGAGAGAGAAAGAAAGAAAAAAGCAGTTACGTTTCATAGATAATGAAAATTAAATCTTGACCTCAGTTTTTACGTAATTCGCCCCAGTAAAGAAAATCTTAAATTTGGAGACATACTTGAAAAGGAAGCTACACTGACAGGAGCCCAGAAGTCATGAAGAAACAGTTCCAATCCTTTCTCTCCCCTCCTTCCATCCTCTTCTTTCTCTCTTCCCTCTCCCTTTTTCTCATTCTTTCTTGATTCCCTCTTCTCTCCCTCTCAATATTATGTAATATGGGCAGGATTATACAAAAAGTAATTTCCAAGGCCAAATTTAAAACTAGATCTGCCCTTACTTCAAAATCCTTGCTTTTAAGAACCACTACAGTATTTCACTAAATCTAAGATATATTACTAAAGGAAAAAACAAAAACAAAAACAAAAACACACTACAAATTCTAATTGCAAGATACCATCTACTATAAGGCTCATATATTTTCAGAGATACTAAATATAAAAAGAATGTACACAGTGGAAATGATAAAATGATGTGGTACACGGCTTCCCCTTTTCAGATCTCCGGACTCCCAATACATAGGACATATAGTTTTGTTTAATTAAGAATTAGGTATTTGCCTATTCTTCCCAATCAGAATTATGTCTCCAGGCTTGATCTTTGATAACCATCAGCACCCCTTACCTACAGAGCACCTGATCTAGACTGTCCTTGTTAGGCTCTGTTGCTACCCAAGTCCCAGACCAACAAGGACCATCCTCATTACAAAGGCAGACCATTCACAAAGTGTTTAGTTTGTTAATATTTCGTTTGTTGATGCTCGAGTTAGCTTTGTCAAAGTTGGATTCTTTAATTCACCCAGCTCTCAATGTGCCCCTTGTATATACAGGGACCTCACTGTATGCAACAAGTTAAAATAGTTTAAGGGAGTGGTTTTCAAATTGTGCTCCAGTGATCCAAACAGGTATGGCGCCAGGCCCCCTACTACCACATCGGTCAAGATAGTTAAGTTTTTATATTTTATATTCTGGGCCTCTTGAAAACCACTACCTTAAAACTGCTTAGAAGGAACATCAAGAAAAGGTCAAGCAGGACATAGAGTTTCAAGACAACTGACCATGTTGATGTAAATACTCTCATTCATATATCTTTGTCTTAAATACGCTGAAAAAGCAACAACACCTATAGACAGACAGACAGACAGATACATAGATACACAGAGAGATACATAGATAGATTCTTTTAAATGTCCTCAATGTGCAGTACTATTCAACAAAACTAACACAGGAGTCATTCTAACAAAGAAAGGCAGACACTCTAAAATTAATACTCCAGAAGAATACACTTACTTTTGTTGGCATCCACTCATCAAGTTTGCTATCCAAAACTACGTCGTAACAGAAGGCACCAGAAATTACTGTAAATCCAACCAAAATAAAAAGCAAAGTCAAATCTGCCCTAACAGAAAGTTACTAATTTGCAACAACTGAATATTTAGACTACGAAATGAAGGATTAGCAATCTCTCCCAACTCTACAAATTATAAAATGGTTGCCATTCTTCCAGCTGCTTGCCAGAGCTCTATCAAATTTCCCTTAGCCAAAAGATTGTTAACCCCAAATCACTAATCACTAATATTTTTTAAACATTGAAGTTTTCTTCAAAAATGCTAAATACCATACAGATTTCATAGTTATCAGATGTAAAAATTCCAGGTAGCCGAGGCAGGTGGATCACCTGAGGTCAAGAATTCAAGACCAGCCTGGCCAACATAGTAAAAACCAGTCTCTACTAAAAATACAAAAATTAGCCAGGCGTGGTGGCAGATGCCTATAATCCCAGCTACTCGGGAGTCTGAGGCAGGAGAATCACTTAAATCTGCGAGTTGCAGGTTGCAGTGAGCCAAGATCACGCCACTGCACTCCAGCCTTGGCGACACAGCTAGACTCCGTCTCAAAAAAAAAAAAAAAAAATTTTTTTCAAAAGAACAACATATTTAGTAAGTAGATAAATAACTTAATGGACATGAAATGCTAAATTTCTTTTATATCGCCTAAATAGCTTCTTTTTGGTGTTTTGTTCTTAGAATCATTTCTTGAGTTTCTTTCACATATTTTAGGTATACCTACTTCTTTAAAAAAAAAAATTATACATGTGATCTTACCATACTTACTATTCCAAAATCCTAGTTTTAGCAAAATTACAATGTACACCCTTTCATCTCACCACAGTGCTGTCTCTCTCCAGAGTAACAGTCATGTCTGGTGAAATATTACCACCTAAGGACAGCTCTTTCCAGCAGTCTACTTATACTCATATTTCCTCCTCCTCTACACATGCAATTTGGAAATATATGCTTAACGTTGTAAAAAAATAAACGCTGAGGGCTAGGAGCAGTGGCTCACGCCTATAATCCCAGCACTTTGGGAGGCCGAGGCAGGAGGATCACAAGGTCAGGAGATCGAGACCATCCTGGCTAACACAGTGAAACCCCGTCTCTACTAAAAATACAAAAACATTAGCTGGGCATCGTGACGGGCGCCTGTAGTCCTAGCTACTCAGGAGGCTGAGGCAGGAGAATGGCGTGAACCCGGGAGGCGGAGCTTGCAGTGAGCCGAGATCGTGTCACTGCACTCCAGCCTGGGCGAGAGTGAGACTCTGTCTCAAATAAATAAATAAATGCTGAGATAGTGGAATTCCATGAAATTCATATTCAAGATAAACATTTTCCAGTAATTCTATGATGTTAATTATTAACCTGCAAAGACTACTTCATGCTTCATCAAAATAAGATAGATTTTGTTACTCATGATAAATGAAACATGTATAATGGTAATTTATACTAGATAAAATTAGAACTAAACTCTATACATCATCAAAAATAGGTACCAAAATATTTAAGGATCACAAAAAGACATATATTTATATGTGTACATTACCAGGAACTTCCGGAGCTCTGACCAAATTGACCATATATTCATCTTTGAATGCCCTCTCTATCACACAACCCATCATCATAGCACAGGAACGCCAATAAGCCTAGAAAAAAATACATACATATATAAAATATATATAAACACACTGAGATTCACTAAAGTTTCGACAATATTAAATTGTAAGTGAACTTTTGACTTCGAAAATATTTCTCATATATCTCTGTTCACACAACGTAGCAACAGTTACCATCAGATGATGACATTACCTCAACCAAGCAAAAATCAAGAAAGAATGAAGCATCAACTTCAGGTTCTTAGTAATGTTTCTGTACAAGATACCAAGCACCATAATGGTTGTCAACCCTGACAGATAGTTTTATTATCTGAAAGTATTTATTTTTAACCCAGGATAAAGTTAACTTGTTAACAAACTTGTGCTAAAGTAAAATAAAGATATTAATTATGTAACTGTTTATACCATTTATAAATATGGAGAAAAAACTCAACTTTTATGAATGATTAGTGACTCTTATCCTACACCTAACACCCTAACATGTCGTTCAGATTACTCATATTTACAGCAGAGCAGCAGCAACTGGGCTTTCATCTTACCAGCACATTTTGATTCATGGACATGCCTGATTGAGATGGTATCAGAGCAATGACCTGATCAGTCACAAGGAGAAACCTGCAGTGTAACTGTCCATTGTGTTCCCCTCTTGCTGACACTACTCTGAGCACTTTTCAGAAGCTCTGTTTAACATTTGAGGACTACAAAAGTGGGATCACTTCTCCATTATAAATTCTATACAACCATATTACACTAAAAATAAGTACAGACCCAGGCCTTGAAGACAAGTGGCAACATGTACTTCTTCATCTATCCTACTTAAATGTCTTTAAGTGTCTGTTGAACTCCAGCCAGAATGCCTAGGTTCAAATCTGGGCTCCACTAGTTCATAAATCAGTAACCTTGGTCAAGCTGCTGAACTTCTCTTTGTCTCAGTTTATTAATCGGGAAAATGGGGAGAACAGTATGAACACTGTAGAGTTTGTATGAAGGTTAAACGAGTTAATATCCGTAAATCACCTAGAACAGTGCCTGATACATAATACATACATACCTATTGTTGGCTATTACTGTCATTTCTATCATTTTCTTGTTCAACTATTTCAACAAATATTTATTAAACACCTACTGTATGTATATCAAGAACTAGGTCCAATAAGGGAAGTGGTCCCTATCTTCACATTCAACAGTTTATGCTACAAGACAAAATTCAAATATCGTATCTAGAGACTAGCCAAGTTGTGTGAGACCTTAGAGAAAAGAGGATTAATTTTGACAAGGAGAAACTTAGAAGGTACCACAAAGCGGATGGCCTTTTAATTGAATTGTAAAAAATAAATAGGATTTTAATAGAGAGAAAAGAAAATGCTCATTTGAAGAAGGCATCAAAAAAAGCAAGGTGGATAACACAGCATAAACCATTAGTGACTGATATAGTTTAGCTCTGTGTCCCCACCCAAATCTCATTTCAAACTGTGACCCCAGAGGTCGAAGGAGAGACCTGGTGGAAGGTGACTGGATCATGGGGCGGTTTTCCCCAGGCTGTTCTCATGATACTGAGTGAGTTCTCATGAGATCTGATGGTTTAAAGGTGTTTAGTAGTTCCCTCCCCACTCTCTCTCTTGCCTCCATGTAAGATGTTCCTGCTTCCCCTTCTACTATCATTGTTAAGTTTCCTGAAACCTCTCCAGCCATGAAAAACTGAGTCAATTAAACTTTCCTTTATAAATTACCCAGTCTCAGGGAGTTCTTTATAGCCATGTGAAAACAGACTAATACAGTGGCCAAGTACTCTAATGTGGCCAGAACAAGGAGGAAAAGCAAAGAAGCAAGGGGGAGGCCAAGCTGGAAAGGCAGGCTGGGAACAGATTATACAGGCCCTGGAAAGCCATGTGAATGTTACCAGGTAGGCAAGTTCTTTAGGTGTAAGTGACATGCTCCTTAGTCATGTCACTTAATAAAGCTGTTATAGGCCTGTAAAAGAACAACTTTTAAGTACCGAAAAAAAAAGTGGGGACATGGGTAAGCAGAAAGAGTTAAAAAGTTATTGAAATCATCTAGATAAGATGGTCAAACGCTGAATTCAAGCAGTAGCAGTGGAAACGGAATCACCCACAATATAGTGATTAATGAATGTAAGTTGAAAAAAGATATTAATATAAAAGACATAGCATACCAAAAACACCCAGAAATGGATGCCACTGATATTTTTTGAACTATAAAAGTGCCTAATCTAACAGGTAAAACATTGACTAAAGAGTACAACACAACATTTGAACTTGGCCATATTTTTACGTTACACCCCATAGGAAACAGGTCTTAATAAAAAGGTGAAGATACTGTGGAAATAGAAAAAGAATGTAGAGACAGAAATACCTTATTCACTTCTCCTGGATCACGATCTTTGAAAGTAAGAAATTTAATTTCACACGACTTTGTTAATGGCTTATACATGTCCCAAGGCTGTCCATCCACCAGAGCCAGAATGGACTTCCTGCAGTACCACTCACTTAAATCTAGAAATTTAAAACACACTGATTATCTAACAAAATCCAGAGTGAAAAGGTACATGTTTAGGTGCTACATTTAGAAATAAAACAATGGGAAGGCAAGATCTGCAGATTGTCCTTTTTAGAGAAAAAAAGTATATTACATCTATAATCAATAAAAAAAAAAAAAAAATACCCTACAAAAATTAGCCAGGCATGAGGGCACATGCTTGTAATCCCAGTTATTTGGGAGGCTGAGACAGGAGTATGGCTTGAACCAAGGAGGCAGAGGTTGCAGTGAGCCGAGATCATGCCACTGCACTCCAGCCTGGGTGACAGAGTGAGACTCCGTCTCAAAAATAAATAAATAAATAAATAAATAAAATAATACCCAATATACTCAAGGTCTTATTGGTTATTAACAAAATTACCCAAACCATTTACAAAATTCATTAAGGCTATATCTAGTTTGAAATTAATTTGTCAATTATTAATGAAACAATTTTCTAAGAGTTACACTTGAATATTTAGAGAGCAGCATCACAGATGTATTTGGATAGATACACACACAACTCCAAAGAAAAGGGAAATATATTAACACACAGCTACAAAAATCAGTTCTAGATTGGTTTTGGGTCTTGCTCCCAAACCATCTCTTACTTCCACGACATAGATGCTTTAAGTTAAATACCGTAGCTACCATTTCTTCGTAATTAATATGAATTCCCAGATAAACCAATCAGCTCTGGTCTGTTTCATCATCCCAGAATGCAATGCCAACTGTGATTACATGTTCTGTAATTACATAGCTACTCACAAAAGTACTCAAACTACAGGGTCTAAATTATCAACCCCTACATAAGCTCTGTAAAGACAGCGATCATGTCTACTTTTGCTCACTCATCAGTATATCCAGAGACTAGCACCAGGCCTGGTATTCACTAGCACTAGCAGGTATTCAATAACAGTTTACTGAATGACTGCAAGCATGAATGACAAGAAAGTCTCAGAGCACGGGTCATGCTGAGGATGCTTCAGAAACTGTATCACTACATGTGATGTGTATAAAGCTCCTTAAGGGCCTGAGTTTTGTCTTATCCTCCTCTGTAATCCTAATGCCTATCATATGGCAGAGGTTCCAGAAATACTTGAAAACCAAATGAGTAAATATTTATAAGTACTAATTCAAGTGCCAGAGTGAAGGAAGATTAAGAGGGAGTGTACACTCTTTAGGCCAGTTTAAGCTGATAACTAAAGTTGTTAATTACCTAAATGGAATCATTACTGAGTTTTCCAAAAGTTTAAGCAATGCAGCTAGTCATGCCTGTATCTATTTTGGTGCTTCTTTAATTTAAATAGTACCAGTTCTACCAAAGGTACTATCAAAACATTTTGATCAAAAATAAAATATAGAGGTTCTTATTCCCTTCATTTCCACACCAAATCACACATGGGGCACAGCTGTCTCCTTTAAGATATAAATACTTTTATCCCAATCACATTCACCCCATGCACATTCCCAGTCACACATTTACATGTACATATAAATGCAAACAAAAATACAACACAGAGAGAGCTCAATGGAAGACAGATGATAGACGTAAGTTAGGCTATACAATGAAGAGGGGAGAAAGAAATTTCGGCAGCAAAAAAAGCTGATCATCTGTGGCCATGGCAACCCCTTTACACCAAAATCCTTTCTTGAGACCTGCATGGTGACTGCTCCCACCACACCACAGCCCAGCTAAAAGGAGCAAGCAAATCCCAGCTACTTGGGAGGCTGAAGCAGGAGGATAACGTGAGGCCAGAAGTTCAAGACCAGCCTGGGCATCATAGCCACCCTATCTCTCAAAAAATAAAAATAAATTAGCCAGGTGTGGTGGTGGGTGCCTGTAGTCCCAGCTACTTGGTAGGCTGAGGATAGGAGTTTCAGTAAGCTATGAGAGTACTATTACACTCCAGCCTGGGCAATAGAGCCAGACCCCCATCTCTAAAATTAAATTAAAGGAGAAAGCACACTAGTAACAATGCACTCAGGTCTGGCCACCTTAATACACTCAGGTCTGGCCACCTTCTGCCAGAAAATAATCTAGTACCCTAAACAAAGCCAGATTCAAGCAAGCCCCAGGTAGGACAATCTGTGCACTATACTGCCAATCTTGCAATACTCATAGTACCCTCCAGAGCTAAAGGGACAGTGAATAGACAATAAGGTGCCAGATAAAGAACCTCTGGGAAATCCAGGGACCTCTGCGCCCACCACATCTGGCTAATTCATTTTTATTTTTTGAGAGACGGGGTGGCTATGGTGCCTAGGCTGGTCTTGAACTTCTGCCCTCAAGCTCTCCTCCCGCTTCAGCCTCCCAAGTAGCTGGGATTTGCTCGCTTCTTTTAGCTACGGCTGTGATGTGGTGGGAGCAGTCACCATGCAGATCTCAAGAAAGGATTTTGGTATAAAGGGATTGCCACGGCCGCAGATGATCAGAAGTAATTACAACATCCTGTCTCCTGCACCAGTTCTTCCACACAGCTCAAGTAAAAGGGTCAAAACTGTAACCTGATTCTGTTACTTACGCATGGCACAACTGTAGGGAGTTGAAATGTTTTTATTCATCACGAAGACAGTACCGGGGTCAGTTTTCCCAACATGCTTAACTTCTATCTTCTCAGTTCGGGGAGTTAATGATAACTGCCTGGCTTTCTCTTTATTAAAGAGGTCATTCCGCATTTCTGTCAATTCTGTCGGCGACAGCTGAGAAGCTGGAGATGTTGCTATAAATCCTGTGAAGAAGTTACAATAAATATGAAGACTGAAAAAAATGATTAACATACTGCCAAAACTGCGCTCAGAGGTAAAATTAAACCGATTTGTAATATTAACAAACACCAGCGGAAGAAACAGAGCTGGCCCAGATATGTGTCTCTACTTTTAAATCTGGCTCTTTCACATCAGATGGCTATTTCCCACCAATTTCCTCTGTCGTGTTTCCAATCGGTGCTTTACAATAAGGGGCAAAAAGTAACCAGGAAACGGAGTCAAAACTGGACTAGACTCATTGGGAAGGTGAAGAAAGTGGTCGGTTTGAAAGGGTCTGAAGGAAAAGAATAAAATTTCAGGGAACTAAAGGTCCCATACCAAAACTATCAATATGCAGAATGAGAAACGCTGAGTTTATTTCCCAAAAGCCAAATCACGGGACCTGCCAAGGCAAGTCCGAGTACTCCCAGGGAAGACATGGACAGATGTGCACGGAACGTGCGTTGCTTCCCAGAGGCGGCCCAAGCTCCTCCCGCGGCCTGACCCTGACCCCTGCACTTGCCCCTGCCCTTCTCCAGCCCCTGGTTCCCATACGTTTGTCCTCCCAGACTGTGCAAGGCCAACCGCCGCCGCGGGACTGAGAAACCCTCCTCCTTCCTCTGCCCCGCTGGACGTCCCGGCCCCGCCTCAGGTCCAATCCAGACAGACAACACTTTCTAGGCCTCCTCCCTGTCCCCACGGCCTCTGAAACTCACTCCAGCTGATCCCCAAACCGGATGCGACCCGCCAGAGCCGCAGCGCCCGGACACTCATGGTCAGCGCCTCCATAGCAGCGATGAGAACCGTCGCGCGCAAGTCCTTCTTCGCCCTCCTCCCCCGGAAACGGAGCGCGCACTCGGAGTTCCGCAGGACAGTTCTGTTCCGGACCCAGCACTCGGACTGCGCACGGCCACCAGGGGGCGTCAGGCCTCGCTGGGGATTCCGGGGCTGAGACCCGGAGATTCGGAGCCGGGCGCGTTACCTGTGCTCGATACCTGGGTGCTGTCACCGACCGAGAGGTGCAGGGCCCCCAGAGCGGTCGGCCTGCCTGCCACCCACCACGTAGGCTCTGCAGGGAAACAGAGTCCCACAGGCGTCGTTGCCCTCCGCCTTCCGGCCTCTGCAGGTTCGATTCCGGCCACCCTGGTGAAGCGCTTGCTTGCCGAAAAGAATATATGTATTTGGCGGGGGGGGGGCGGGGAATGGGGAAGGCGTCTTCTGTTTTGTCAGCGATGACATCTTCTAGCGCGTGTCTCAACTTTCAATTGTGCCGGGTAGGTTCTTAGTTCGGCTGGAGTGGGTCTGCACCCCGGTTCTCCTCTTAGCCATGGTAATAGAGGCCTCGAGACACGTCGCCTTGACTTTGGAGAAGACGTTGTAATTCGTAAGAGCTCTTTACAAATTTTCTAGTTTAGTTTATGTAGTACAGGATGCATAGGAGAAGGCATCCCGGGGCAGAATTTTTGTCTCTAGTCCACTGATGTATCCCAAGCGCGCAGAACAGAGCACAGTTCACAGTCCGCGCTCAACAGATGTTTCTTAAATGAATGAATGAATGAATGCCCTTGCAGGCAAAACTCAGCGCATTGTCTAATTCCTCCGTCCTACCAGGACGTGAGTGTTATTTGAAGTAAGCACTCCGTAGGTACAGGATGGAAATGTTTTCACTTACAGTAGGTTAATATTGTGGCTTTACTTAAGAGTGTCAAATTCAGCCTTTTCCCCACTCTGTCCTTTGCCTTGCAATTGGAATGCGCCACCACCAGGTGGAAGTGCCGTCTAAGGTACAAATATGACCCTGCGCCACGATAGACTGACTCTGTCCTTGGCCCAAATGTTACACTCACAACCACTGCGCCAGGAAAGTATAAGTATCTTCACTTTTTCAAACGGGAAATTAAGTGACGGAGCTTGGATTTACATCCAGGCTACATTTTACCAGGCTATATTTCATTTAAGATCCTAATTCAAACCACGAAATGTACATATATACATATAGGGTTGGGGAATGGGTGTATCTTTTACTTACTCAAATTTGCATACGATTCCCATGAAAGCTCTCTGTTTCGTCGGCCTTTTAGAGCCTGTACCCATTTAACCTTACCTAGAAACACTCTAGTGCCCTTAGAACATCTTAGAGCCACGTTGAAGCAAAGCCTCTGAACATAAACTTAAGCAAGTTTGATCATAAACCCATTGGCGGCAGGTAATTGGAGTTCACCAGTATGAGAAATTAACCTAGTTGAAAGGTTGTCACTAGTGATAATGGCCAAAAAATACTATGTACCAATCAGAGGGCTGGGTTTATTAATTTTCACAACCTATCCAAGCAATTGGCATAAAAATCTTCATTTTCCAGGAAAAGAAGTTCAGGTTTTAAGAGTTCGAGAGACATGCCCAAGGTAAATCTTAGGCCAAGAATTCCCCCCAAATATTTTCTTACTCTGAATCCCCTCTCTTGCCTTCTTTGTCAACCAGCTCCCCAAATCTTAGTCTCACTCTGTCAATGTCTCTGCCAAATAAAAAGAATCAAGTCTGTGACAGTAAATATCTAAGATAAGCCTGGATTGTTACTGTGCCAGAAAGCCTATAACTAACTATAAAATACAGACAAACAGAAACATGTTAAAAAGGACGGGGTACCAAATTCAAAGGGGCTCCTATTGTCCAAATTTGGGAGAGTTTGCATAACACAAAGAATAATGCTGAAATTTTATGACATGTACACTAAAAATTCATGAATCCGTATGATACTCAAGAATAGATAAGTGTGGAAAGAATGAAGGGAGTTTTCTGTACCAAAACAATGCCAGATAATAAAAGTCGTAGGAATAACAGAATAGGGAAAATCACCATTCTGCATCTACCAATGTAACCATTGGTACAGGAAGGGATCATCAATAGATGCTAAAACCAATAGAGAAAGTTTGTTGGGGATCAATATATTCACATAGTCTCTAAGTATCACCTCACGAATTACTGACAAAATACAAATGGATAAATGAAACTTTTCAAAGGAGAAATCTGGTGGATATCATCGTCAAGTGGTCAAACGTTTCGTCACCCAAAATGAGACAATCTGACTTTATTTGTGCTTCTTGGTTGTGATATAAACAATATAATCTATGTAGTATTCCTCACATAAATATTTAACCTGAATCTAAAGAATTATGAGGAAATCAGGTATATCCAAAAAGTGATATAGTCTACAAAACAACTGACCTAAACTCTTCAAAAATGTAATGTATGAAAGATGAACCCAAAAAAGTCAAGAAACTGTTGTAAATTAAAGGAGACTAAATAGATCTACATTTATTATCAGTGCATGGTCCTCGCTTGGATTTTGGATCAGGAAAAAAGTTTACGAAGAATGTTACTGTGACAGAGAAACTTGAACATAAACTATATACTAAATAATATATCAATGTTATATTTCTTGGATATGATCATAGTGTCACGGTCATATAGGAAATAATCCTCGTTCTTACGATATATATATTAAAATATCTAGGAACCAAATATCACTATGCCTATAACTAACTCTCAAATGTTTCAGCAAAAATAGGGAGCTCCATACTGAGGGAGGGAACAAGACAAATTTAGCAAATGTGGCAAAATGTTAACAATTAGAGAATCTAAGTGAGGGTGTTAGTTGAACTACTCCTTCAACTTTGTTCTGAAAAGTTTCAACGTTAAAACTTTGGAGAATAACTTCAGTGGTTTTCAACCATGAAAGTTTATTTTGCTTATGTTGTCTGTCAGTGACAGCAGCCACCAGCCAATCGTGGCTCTGCAGCTTTATTCCAGAATTCAGGCTGTAGAAGCAGCCCCTACTTGGTCTTGTGCTTCTTGTGGCAGAGGGAAAAGAGTGCAGTAACCACCTTGTGCACTGGCTCTTAAGAGCTTCTGTTCAGACTCACCTATGTCTCAGCCACACAGTCCCCTGGCCCCAGCAAGTCCCATGGTCAAGACCAATGTCAATCAGGTAGGATGCCTCCTGCAGGGAGCCAGTAGATGAAGTTATGTACTTCACATTCAAGGAGGAATGCAAATCACTGGAATCAAGATTGAATAATAAAGCCAGGTTTCATGGCTCACTCTTATAATCCCAGCACTGTAGAGCAACCGAAGTGAGCAGATCCCTTGAGCTCAGGAGATGGAGACCAGTCTGGATAACATGGCAAAACCCCGTCTCTACAAAAAAGTACAAAAAAATCAGCTGGGTGTGGTGGTACTTGGGAGGCTGAGGTGGGAGAATCACCTGAGCCCAGGAAGTCGAGGCTGTAGTGAGCTGTGATTGCATCACTCCATTCCAGCCTGGATGACAGAGTGAGACCCTGTTCCAAAAAACAAAAAATCCAGTGACACAGTAATTTTCCCAAGATCACAAAGATGATCTGGGGCTCAGTCTCAGATCTGGCTGTTTCCAAACCCTATACTTTCTTTGTTCTCAAATTCATATGCTTTTTAAATCCAAATATTTGGTTTCACATTTTCAAATCATTATACATTTACTTGTTGGGAAATTTTGTCTTTTAATTTAAAGCTTCCTAATGAAAAGTTTCACTCTCAGTTCTTTTTTTGATTCACAAGTTCTTACCAAAACCCCACACAGGATACCATTGCTGAGAGTTCTCAATGCCTCTATCAGCTACCCCATTCAATACATATCCTTATGTTCCACCTACTGACCCAACATGCAAGATACCAAACATGTGGTTCTGTGCCTCGCAGAGCTGTCCTCTTAATCAGTTTGTGTTAGTCCAGGTACTCTGAAGAACAGATACCAAGACAAAGTTAAGTATGCAAGGAATTTGTTAGGAGAGATGCTTGTAAGGGAAAAGGGGAAGGTGGCCAGGTAAGGCTGACCCCATGTGAAGAAGAGAAGGAAGGAAAATTGAGTGAACACATTCTTGACCACCAGTGGGGTCTAATGAAGTTTCAGCAAGATCATCAGGTGAATCCCCAAAGCCAAAGTGGGCATGCCTCAGTGTCCCCACTGCGCTCAGTCTGGCTGGGAGCAGCCGCTGGGAAGCAGGAAGCATGTTTGCCTCAAAGCAAACATGTTGATATTTCAGAGTTCAGCAGCTGGGGCCCTGGGTCAGTTACACTGCCTGTAATTGAAGATCTAGGAAGCATATAAACTAAGCTGTATTTTGGGAATCAAATAATTGCAGAAGCATTTGACACGCATTTTACATGTCTACATAATAAAAACACATTTGTATCAATTATCTTATATCAGGGCTGAACACCCTCTACTTCCACCTGAGGACAAATTGCTGTGAAATAACAAGAGATGAATAGGCAGGTGCAACCCACGGCTTTTTTTTTTCTCTTGATGTGTGATGTCTTGAGGCTAAATGGTACCTTTATTTCAACATCATTCCTTATCAACTCCTTTGTGAGCTGAGGGGGCAATGGTGTGTCTGTGTGTGTGTGTGTGTGTGTGCTCAAACACGCGCGCACATGGGGGTAGGGGGTGATGGTGAGAGGGTTCTGAAAAAATGAAAGGCAGATGAATACAAAGATATATACATAGTCCACTCCTTCAGCTATCATTTCTCCTCAAACCGTCTCTTTTTATCAGATATTTCCTAATAGTAAGGGGCGAACCAAGGATACACATCACAGATAGACTTTCTTGTACAAAATATTTTTGTTTCTTTCACGGAAAACTATAATGTATATACATATATGTATATACATGAATTGTGTTAAGAAAATAATTTTTATGTTTCCAACCCTCATTAATAAGTACTAAATAATGTTTATTTAAAATGATGATATGGTAAGTGTTGAAAATTATAAATATACAACTTGAAGAG